AGAACAGTAGGTCTGAGTTAGACATTTGACAAAGTTCCTGAATTACACTGTCTTTTCCCTCTTTGAAGCCAACAGCTCCCAAACACTATCTCAGTGTTGAATTAAAGAAAAACAATTGCTTTCGCATTTGCTAAAATAACTGGGAGACTTTATTTGGGACTATCCAAGGAAGTGTCCTGGTTGCCACACTAGAAGAGAAAGGCTGGCCTAGGCTTTGAACACCACAAAAACAGCTAGAGCCAACCAGATACAGTAAGGGGGCGGAAAATGACCAAGAGATACATCAGTGTTGAGGGACTCTTGAGAACCCAACATAATAGAAATCTGGCTGAAGACAAACCAAAGTGATCAGAAACTGCAGATGGGGGAATAGGAGCTGATTGGATATCAAGGATGAGGGGGTCTCTGCTGAGTGAACTCACTGGGATTCTTGGAATCTGACAGAATTCCTATGCAGGTCCAGGCAGAATGGGGGTCCCAGCTGAGGTCAAGTCCAGAAGTGGTATCGAAGAAGCCTGGTGGGGCTCTGGTAAAGAACAGAGCTTTCCTAAGCACACACACGCCAGCCGAGCAGCACAGAGCGGCAATGGCCTGCCCAGTTATTCTGCTCTTCCCTGCTTTGGTAAGGGTGTGAGGGAGGAGAAACCCCTGTGGATGAAGGTTAACAAGACAGGACATCAAGGACCAAGCACTCAGGAAGGGGATGTGGTAGAAAGACCAGCGGACACTGAGATCTGCCACACTGTGGAGAGTGTCGGAGTCAACATCCACTGAAGTGTGCTAAACATGGACCTGAAAGGACCTTGTTTGAATTAGACAGAGATTAGCTTAGTGGCGGTATTTCTGGTGGAGATAGAGGGTTAGCAAGGTCAGATAAGTAACAAAAGTCTTGCCAGGCTGATACACCTAAAGCCCCTTTGCTAGGGCTAGGAAGGAATTCTAGGCACGGTGGCTTAAATGAAAAACATCCCTTGTAAGCTTAAGCTGTTGAACACGTGGTCCCAAGTTGGTGGTGTTTTAGGTGTTGCGGCCTTGCTGGAGAAAGCGCGTCCCTGTGCTTCGAGGGTTCATAGCCCTGTCCTGCTTCCATTTCAACATCTCTGCTTTACATTTTATGATTGTCGTTGGAATAATGGTCTCTCAGCTTCCTGCTCTGGCCCTTTCCTTGCTGACATGGCTTCCTTGTCACAACTGACTCTTCCTCTGAACGATCAGCCAAAAGAAATTCTTCTAGAAGTTGCCTTGGTCATGGTATCGTATCACAGCAACAGAAAAGTAACCAACACACCGGGGAATGAGTTACTGACATTTAACCAACACGAGAAAGACAAGTATAAAATAGACCGGGAGGCTTGAGTGTCGAGGTTTTGCAACAGGTTTATCCCTGGAACACAGTTGTGAAAAGTATTGCTAACTCAAAGCCACAACAGAGAAGGAAGGGATACATCTCAATGCCGTTATTATTGACACATGGAGTCAGACAAGTCACCACTACCGGCCATCTGGTCTGGAAATGTGGGGGAAGCCACAAAAGAACCACTGAGAATTTTGAGGAGGCCGAGCTGGGACTGCAAGCATGCCTGAGTCTTCACTGTGAGCATGGGGTCACTGGTGACATCTCCCTGTGGAAACTTGAGACTCATGAATACTATGTGACTATCACTGTTGCCTCAGGACAAAGAAACTTTACTTAAAACACAACCACAGGCCCATCTAGGGCTAACCATGTTGTCCTGATTGTTGGTGCTGGTGAATCTGAAGCTGGTTCCTCCAACAGTGGCAGCCCTGGGAGCACGTCTTGTGCGTCACACTGGGTGTGAAGTAGATAAATGTTGACACTAACAACCGGGCGGTGGTGGCACACGCCTTTAATCCCAGCACTCGGGAGGCAGAGGCAGGCAGATTTCTGTGAGTTTGAAGCCAGCCTGGTTTACAAGTGCTAGTTCCAGGACAGGCTCCAAAGCTACAGAGAAACCCTGTCTGGAAACAAACCAAACCAAATCAACCAACCAAACAAACAAACAAAAAATTCATTCCACTGGGCCACCTTTCAGCCAAAAGAGATGCAAACAAACACCGTTTACATTTAAAGCAAACAGACAAACAAAAAACTGGCTACAACATCTGATATGATAGCATTTGAGCCCATTTCTGTTTGGGACGACGTGAAAACGCTAGAGTCACTGATGTGCTAATATACCTTGGGTCAAGGGAGCAGAAGTCATCTCTAAAGTGGAACTACATCCCTGCCATCAACTTGTCCAACTGATATAAGCATTCATATCTATATATTGCCTACATATTATGTGTCTATAAGTTACTGGTGTTGGTAATATAATATCCCTGTGGGCTGATTCTCAAATACATCATGTTCGTCACTTTTGCTGCAGTCCATGTCACAGCTAGGGTGTGTTAAAATGCCCATGAGGCTTTGAGTGAAGTACCTCCTGGGGACAAAGTGGGTTTCAATGTCAGGAACACGTTTGTCAAAGATGTTTGCCTCCGCAGCACTGCCGGCGATGGACAAACGAGCCCTGAGTGGAAGCAATTGGCGACACTACAAGCAGTTATCCCAAACTATCCCTGCCAAATTAGTGCTCGCTGTACCCCTGCCCCGGGTCGTCACGTGGCTCACAGCAAGTTCTCTGAACTGAAAGAAAAGTGAATAGCTATTCTGGTAAGATGCTGGAAGGTGGCCCTACATTCTGGGAATCTGGAGACACTGTGATTGTCAGACACACATGTTGAGAGCGTCTCTGACTATACTGCTGTTTGTGATTTGAGACAGAAGATGGCTGTCATTGTCGTCAAAACCACGGACAAGGAAGCTGCGGGCCTCAAGTCCAGTTGGACGGCTGCTGTTTACCCCTCGGATAGAAGTGCCACCGTCACACTTGAAGGGTATCTTGCCAAGCTGGCTCTTGTAGTTTACAGGCTTCACGTGGCACTTCCAGTACCGTGAGAGTTTGCCCTCTGGGAAGGGCTTTTGGGTCAGATCCAGCTCTGTTCCTCCATACAGTTTTCAAAGGCCTTACGTGAGTAGGCAGACTATCAGCTTCAACTAAAAGGTGTGGACGCACAGTCTAATAGATCTTTGGATGCCTCAAAGTTCAACTAGAGAAAGGAGACTGAGAAACCCAGCCTAACTCAGGCACGTCTGAGATGCAACAGTCAACGGGTAGAACTGCCCAGAGGCAAGAGCTTCAGAAAAGGGTGCCCAGAATTTGAATCCTGATCAAGGATCCTCCAACTTTTGTCTGGCTTGGCTTGGGTATCATTACAGACAACTTGGTGCCTCTTATTCCCTCCTTGAGATAGAAGGTTCCTACTGGTTATTCTGTGCCCATTCCATCTTTGTATTCTGAGTGGGGAGGGCCAAATAACTTATTTATAGATCATAGACCTTTAGTTTTATATTTACGTATGCACACATACATAATTGTGTGTTTTCTTTCTTTCTTTACTTTTTTCTTTCTCTCTTTTTTCTTTTTTTTTAAACTTATTTATTTATTATGTATACAATATTCTTTCTGCCTGAGTGTATGCCTGAAGGCCAGAAGAGGGCACCAGACCTCATTACAGATGGTTGTGAGCCACCATGTGGTTGCTGGGAATTGAACTCAGGACCTTTGGAAGAGCAGGCAATGCTTTTAACAGCTGAGCCATCTCTCCAGCCCCTTTTTTTTTCTTTTTTTGAAGGGTCTCACCATGTAGCCCTGGCTGGTCTGGAACTCCTTATGTAGAGCAGACTGGCTTCAAAGGGAAAGATCTACCTACCTCTGCCTCCCGAGTCTGGGACTAAAGGTGTGCAATGACCACACTCAGCTTTGAATACGCATGGAAAGGAGGACATAGCATGACTGTGAACCCAGTCATGATAGAGTCTAAGCCGGAGTTGCTAAACTACACCTTTTGAATTCCTGTCTGACAAAGACCGTGTGGTATGCATCACCTCATTATGGCCTTGCTTTAGAGTTACACAACAACAGACAGGTAACATATGAGGTGATGCCATTGTGCATACTGTCATTTCAGCGACACAAACAGACTTTGAATTTCCTTTATGTTCCTTACAGGAGATGGAGAGAGTAAAGTGACCCTGGGGTTTGCCTTCGCGGAAGAACTCCACATTCAGCATGTACCGCAACAGTTCTTGGAAGACTTTTCTTGCAGGCTCTATTTTTGGACTGCTTGCTACGGATACATGTGGCTTGGGTTTGCCTTACCAAATACCTGTTCACCTACGCCCTTGCTGCTGACGGGGGACTTCACTAGTTTTCCCTTAGAGAGGTTATGCGATTAAGCTTGTTGACCGGGATCCTGATTTTATCAGGACAGACAGGAATGAGGTTGGACACGTGTTTTCTTGTGAGGGGTCTGCCCTGATCCCTGTAGCCGCCGGGATGACGTAATGCGGGGAAAACCTGCCTGAGCTATTCCTCCAGGCAATCTAACAACTGTAAGTTATCTTCCCGACGGTCGTACTGTGATTAGACTTGTTGTAATCTTTGATGCATTTTCACTCTATCTAATCATTTTGAACGTCTTTGGAAAATCATATGTTGACATTAATCTCTACTACAGAAATATTCTTCTTGTATCTCTTTCATATTAACGTGGTCCATCTCGTCCTTTTGAAGTTTTAAATACTCTCTTCCTGTCCGTTTTTTTTTTTTTTATTTTCATGCACAAATTATAACCTCCCATCTGTTCCAAAGTCAGTTCTAGGGAATTCTGACCCAGAGGTTTTATCAATCAGAGCCCAAAATCGATCTAGACTGTGGCAAAAACACCGCCGGGGTTGGGGTAGGAGTGGGTAGAAGAAACAGCTGATGCCTGTTTTGCTGTTTTGCAGTCTTGCAGAGGCCGGTGGGCCGCTCAGAGGGGTCCCTAGGTGACAGGCGCTAGCGGGACACCGCGTCCCGGCTGGACGCGCAGCCGCCTGGGTACCCCGCCCAGCAGTATTTCCGGGCGGCTCCGGGCTCAGAGGCGGAGCCGGTGCAGGGAGGGAGTTTGGTCATCTGACTCGGTGACCCGGGAACAGACGCTTCTTTTCCTGCAGCCGGGGCAAGAAGGCAGGTGGGAAGACTGCCGGGACAGACCGCGGAGCAGCCATGCGACGGTCCCCGCACCGAGCCCCCGGGCTGCTACTGGCGCTGCTGGCGCTGGCGGCGCTGGTGGCGCAGGCCCCAGCCCAGCAGAGACCGGCGCTGTGGCCCTTCCCGCGCTCCGTGAATATGTCCCCGCAACTGCTGAACATCGCTGAGGACTACTTCCTCATCGTCCACGGCCGCAATTCCACGGCGGGCCCCTCCTGCTCGATACTGCAGGAGGCCTTTCGGAGGTAAGGAGCCCCACCCAGCAGGGAGTCGGGACCTGGGGCAGAGAGGCGGACACGGGGTCTCTGGTCTCGAAGACCTTTGCCGAACGAAGCCCAGCTTGACCTGCCCATTCTGCTTCCTGCGCACCCTGGGTGCTCAGGCACTCTGGTCTTGGTGCAGGGTAACAGTGGGACGAGCTGCTTTAGTCTGTCAGTTTGTTGGCCTCAGAAGGGCAGTTGAGCTACTCCAGAGCTGGGGAGGGGAAGGTGACTCTAGAGTCGCCAATAAGTATCTGGTGGGGCTTAGGTACTTCCCCAGTGTTGACTGTCGCTTTTAGCTCCATCCTTCCCATATGTGGCAACAATGCAGATGTCTTTAATCTCTTTTTTTTTTTTTCTTTAAGTGTATCTGAGCCTGAACGAATTTATGTGTACCATGAGCGTAAAGGTAGCCGCTGAGGGCGTGGAATCTTGGCGTGAACCCCCAGTGCCTGTGCTGGTACCCAACCCGGGTCCTCCGTGAGAGCAGTGAGGGCTCTAAACCTCTGATCTATCTCCCCAGCTCAGAAAAAAAGTCCTCAAGTTGGAGCGTTGTGGGAAACCTCTCCTTTCCAAACTATGTTCCATACCTAATGTTAGGTATTCAAATCTCAATGCTTTCGAATGGCTCTTAGATAAATCTCTGTTTTTCTTCTTGTTTCTCAACACTCTGGCTTCTTCCTCTGGCTAAGGTTCCCTAAAGCCCTTTGCCTTATCTAGGGCTTGGTCTTTTACAGCCCTCTCTTTGGGCTGGCACAGCCAGCCGTACTGAGTGCAGGGCAGGTTGCTTTTGGAGAGATGCTTGGACGTGCCACCTTCTGTCCCCTGGATGAGAGAGACCTGTGTGGGTGGAACTGCCCCGGGTGTAATCTGGTGCCACCTGTGCGGCTGACTTTCCTCGCCAGATCTTGTCTGTGACTGGTGAGCGCAACTAAACTCTGATTTGGCTGGAAGGACACCAAACAGAAGACCAGGAAACGTAAGCCAAAGTTAAGGGTGGATGCTTTAGGCTGTGGCGCTTAAACTTCTGCAGAAGAGGCCCAAGGTGTGGCTGGCAGAAAGAGCAGTGTCCTCGGCCACAGAAAGGCTATTGTTTTCCTTACCATTTGTGCAACTGAGGGGATGTCAACATCTTATTTGGGAGTCTGGCTCTAATAAGCGTTTGGAGTTGAATTGCTTTCAGGGTGGGCTGCTTATAGGTCCAGGTGCCATGAAAATGTACACTGGAAGTGGCCGGTAGTATTGAGATGTTTAGGACTGCAACTCAGCCACAGGGCTGGATAGCTTTTAAAAGGTGCTTGCTTGTTTGCTTTAGGGCTGACTGTAAAGCGGGAGTTTCCTTTTTGCCTTGATAAGAACTTGAGCAGGCATGAGTTCCGTGTTGATGGATACAATGTTACCCGGCTTGAATCAGCTGTGAGGCGGTTTGAAAACAGGCTTGGCATCTCAAAACAAGTGCAGGTAATTATTACCTGAAGGATTTGCCCAACTAATTCCAGGCCTGTAAGCCCAGCGGGGAGTAATTGCACCTGGCATTGTTTGGAAGCTGGTTGTAAACCTGGGCTAAACCTTGAGAGTAAGTGGCTGTGGTCTCTTAACTTCGGCAAGCATAGTAGGGCTGGAAGTCTTTGGAGATGCAGGGAATTCCGGGAACTCGGGGTAGTGAACATATTCGCTTAAGCTGTTCAGAATACTGTGGCTGTAGTTGCGGGTTTTCCCATCCCAACAGCCTGCTCTCAACGCACAGTGGTTTCCTAAATAACTGACTTGGAGACTTAATATAAACTCTCGGCTGATAGCTCAGGCTTGTTACTAGCTAACTTTTACACTTTTACCCATATTTCTTAATCTATGCTTTGCCACGTGACTCATGACTTGTTACCTCATTTTCTCCACATTCTGCTTCACTGGGTAGGCTGGCTGGCATCTCCTCTGACTTCTCTCTTCCTCATCCCATCATTCTGTTGGCTTCCCCACCTAGCTTTATCCTGTTCAGCTATTGGCCAGTCAGCTTGTTTATTAAACCAATTATAGTGACGTATATTCACACAGAGTGAATTCTAGGAGAGGGCTACATAGTGAAATCCTGTCTTGGAAAACAAGCAACAAAAAATTATTTTATGTGTGTGGGTTGTTTCTATAGCACTACGTCTGTGCACCATTTGTGTAGAATACCTGTTGAAGGCCAGCTGTGAGCCTCCATGTGGGTGCTGCGAACTGAACCCAGTTTCTCTAGAAGAGCAGCCAGTGCTCTTAACTGCTGAGCCATCTCTCCAGCCCTATGCAACCATCCTGGCTGTCCTTAAACTCACTCTGTAGACCAAGCTGGCCTCAAACTCACAGAGATCCTTCTGCCTCTGTCTCCCAAGTGCAGGGTTTAAAGGCACGTGCCACCACCTCCGCCCGGCCATATAAAGTTTTTCCATCAAAACTTAAAAAAAAAATACTGGTTTTTCTGTGTATGGATGTTTTGCCTGCATGTATGTCTGCACACCGTGTGTGTGTGCAGTGTCTGTGGAGTGGGAAAACTTTCAAAAACTCCCATGTATGAATCTCATTCTCAGAAAGTTTGATCTGAAAGTCTGGACATCAGGATCTCCAGACGGTTCCCCCAATGCAGCAGTTCTCAACATGTGGCTTGAGACCATCAAAAAAACAAATATTTCCAATGGTCTTAGGAACACCCGTCCATAATCTGATTTCTGTTGCTACTTTATTGCCGATTTTGCTACTGAGCTGTGTTTCAGTTCCTAAGACCATCGGAAATACACCGTTTCCAATGGTTGCGACCCACAGGTTGAGAACCGCTGCCCTGATGGTTCTGAAAACACCCAGAGGAAGTTTCTGATTAGACGGAGCTGGCACAAGAGATGTGAAAAGCTGGCTTCTGTGTCCCCTGGCACACACGCACATGATCTGGTTCATTATTTAAATGGATTTCTCCCACAGATATTACAACTACATTTTTGGTTTCTACAAGAGGCATCTACGCCCTGCTCGATTTCATCCTGGACCACAGTTAGAGCAACTGCAGGTCACAATCACCCTTGAGCCACAGTGTGATTCCTTCCCTAACATGTCTTCCGATGAGTCCTGTAAGTACCTATTTTAAATGGTGTCATTGTAGAGCGCGCGTAGGTCCAGAAGGAGGGAGGGCTCACCTATCTGTCACCCAGGCATAGGTCCAGAAGGAGGGAGGGCTCACCTGTCTGTCACTCAGCCCACTGCCACTTCAGGGATCCAGTATGTATGTTGTTTGCAACAGATGTTTTTGCATGGATACAAACATTAATATGAAAATGGGAATAAGCTGATCATGGCATTTAGGAGGCTGAGGCAGGAGGATTGCAGTGAATTGAAACTAGCCTGGGCTAGAGTAAGACATCTCCAAAAAAGAAAAAGGACAAAGAAAATGGGAGTTTCTGTACATGTAGATTTTACATAATTATGAACATTTATGAACTTCATTAAGTATTCTTTCGTGACATAATTTCTAATGCTTCAGTATTCCACCACTGTATGGTAGAATTAGATTAATCTTAATTTTTGAGACTATGCTATTTTTTTTGTCTCTTTAACAGATTGTGTGTGTGGTATATGTGTATATGTGTATGCGTGTGTACATGCACACACATGCCCGTAGGCCTCACAGAGGGCATCAGATCCCGTGCCTTGGAGTTACAGGTGGTTGTGAGCCAGTAGCCTTGAGTGTGAGGAACTGAACCATGGTCCTCTGGAAGGAGCCATGAGTACTGACAACTGCTGAGCCGTCTCTCCCGCACTTGGCTTCTGTCTCTGAAGGCAAATTAGAGTGCCCTGCATATTAGACAAGCCTGCCCACAGGACTGTCTCCCCGCTTCCTCTGGAGGGTGTGCTGGTTGGGTGTAGATATAATGTAAGATGAGTACCAGGAAGAGACGAGGGAACTGGGTGTAAAATGGTGTCAAAATAGAAAGAATGCCACAGAGTAAGAAGAAAGTGACGGCTCCTATGCCCTCAGACTGCGTCCTCTACAGGTGGATAAACGCCTGTGTCCCTCCTCCAACACAGATGAGCTTTTAAAAAAAATATGTTAACTGTTATCATCCTATATATTCATTTATTTACTTTGAGTCAGAATATTTTATTTTATTTTTATCTTATGATCATTGGTGTATTGCCTGCATGTGTGACTGTGTGTGGGTGTCAGAAGCCCAGGAACTGGAGTTACAGACAGGTATGAGCCACCATGTGGGTGCTGAGAATTGAACTAGGTCCTCTGGAAGAGCAGCCAGTGCTCTTAACCACCGAGCCACCTCCCCAGCCCCCAGATGAGCTTTCTTAATACACTCCTTAGGAAGATAGTTTCATTTCTTCTCAGTTTTGTCGCTGTCCTTGGGACAGGAACGGGTAATTTACCGGTGCTGGCCACATGACTTTCATGGACAATGGACATGTAGATGCTATGGGAAGTAGGTTTAGCAATCTGAATTGAGCTAGAAATGGCCACTGTGTTGCCAAGCAAACTTTGCTGTCCATTACCGTCTGCAGCACAGATGACCGACCTATTGTAGATTCTAGAAAATAGGGTGCACTGAAACCAAGAGTCTGAGCTTTTATTTAAGTCGGCTCTTCTCAAAAGGAAACTTCCTGCGGTTAGTGTTTAGGAAGTTCGCCAGCATCGCAAACGCAAAATCCCAACCCCCTATATTAAAAATAAAGACAGGCGTACCCTGAGAACTGGAAGTGAAACAATTTCTCCTATAGACAAGTAGCCACACGCATCAAAGGCATTTACCTGAAACGAAGAGTTACAAACAAACTCGCTGCCAGCTGGTACAGACAGGCGTTAATCCAAAGGACAGACAGACAGGCAGACCTTACCAAAACAAACTGCTGAGCCGGACAAAGGAAGCTGTACCGCGTGGAGGGGAGCAGACCATTTTTACAGCAACACACAGGAACTTGCAGATCAAGAATATTATAGTTCTTCATTAACACAGTTGCCCAGGAAAAGAAATGAGTAGATATTTCATATGGGGGAAATAGAACTGGGTGGGCATATCAAGTAATGTTTGAGTAGTATTTTAATTATTGATGTCTGTATCTACAACAAAGGTATTCATAGTGATAAGAGGTTCAGAAGGGGATAGTTGAAAAGTCAAGATATCACCTCCTCACCACCCCCAACACACACCTAATAACACCTGATAACTTGGTTTTGAAATTAAAATTCTAGCCAGGTTGGTGGCACACGCCTTAAATACCAGCACTGGGTGGGGGGCAGAGGCAGGCAGATCTCTGTGAGTTCATGGTCAGCCTTGTTCAGAGCTAGTTCCAGGACAGGCTCCAAAACAAACAAAAACTTGTCTTGAAAAAATTTTTAAAAAATAAATAAATTAAAAAAATTAAAATTCTATAGCTATATATCTGCATACTTAGCAGGTAAATCTTCTAATTACTATATATGATTCAGTGAGTCAGGATCCGTTTAAAATAAGCCAGACCTCAGCTACTGAGGGAAAAAGGAGGCCTGGTTCAAGGGCACTCACAGTAGCAGAACCGGTCTGAGTCTGGCCTTTCGCTCACTCAGCACTGTGGTCTTCTGACCAGAAAAGCTATTCTGGTAGAAAGACTGTCAGCTGAGTGTGTCACATGACTGACACATCTTTTCCTCGTCTGCTAGCACCTAACTTCTGACAGTCAGGAAGTAGAAGGTGACGACCCAGTCAAGGTGAAATGATACTAAATTTTTGTGTGTGCTCCAACTGCTGCCAGTGTCCCTTCGGTGGGAAGCCTGTCCCTGACACACCTCCAGCTTTCGGAGTCTGTACCCTCTGTATCTTGGCCCAGCTCAGCCAACTAGAACTCTATACTCTTTGGGTGTTTTTGTTTTGAGCCATGGTTCCTGTTTAGCCCAGGCTGACTTTGAACCTGTGATTTTCATGCCTCAAATCGCCTGAGTGCTGGGATTACAGGTCCGTTCCTTCCCTCCCACCCTGGTTAGCGTCCCATTCTTTTTTTTATATATATATTTTTATGGTTTATTTAACTTTATTTTATGTGTATTGGTGTGAAGGTGTCAGATCCCCTGCAACTGTATCTTCAGTCAGTTGTGAGCTGCCATGTGGGTGCTGGGAATTGAACCCGGGTCCTCTGGAAGAGCAGTCAGTGCTCTTAACCACTGAGCCATCTCGCCAGCCCGGCGTCCCATTCTTGATGGATGTGGACTTCTAAACTGAGTGAGATGAAACTGGATTGAGGTCGAGGGAGCTGGAAATATCAGATGACATGGAGGGGAAGGGAGGTAGGATGGCCGGAAATAGGAAAGCGGAGTGACTCCACCCTGGGGGAGGTAGGAATTAGGAGTAGATACGGGCTGTGGGCACTGAGGACCTGTCGCATCCCTGACCTGGCAGTTCAGACCGGAGATGAGGCGTGGTGACGGAATACACGTCCAGGGCCCTGGTTTGGACAACTCAGCTGCCTGGCCTAGGCACTGGGACTCACTGAAGAAGAAGTGAGACACAAGGTCTCTGGGCTGGTCAGGCTGGGACATCTTGGGTTGAGGGAATCTAGGTGAGATTCTGGAGGGGAGAGAGTAGCGGGAAAGGGTAAATCTGGGAAATGGATACTGTGTCATTCTGGAATTAACGAAAGCTCCCCAACCCCACCCCACAGATTCTCTACTTGTGCAAGAACCAGTGGCTTACCTCAAGGCCAACAGAGTGTGGGGAGCATTACGAGGTAAGTACTAAGCAGTTCCATCGTCTCTAGTAGAGGGACATTATTATATGTTGCTTTGTTAAAAAAAAAAAAAAAAAGCTATGCCACAACCTTGGGTCCCTCTTCACTTCCCGTGAAAAGCTAGCGGAGCACTTAGATCCCTTCAACCCACGATGCCTGAACCCCAGAGACCTTGCGTCTCACTTCACGATTCCAGTGCCGTGGGCCAGGCAGCTGGGCTGTTCAAGCCAGGGCCCTGGGCATCCATCAGTGACCCCAGCTGCTTCAGCTTTGGTTTGGGCTCACCCTTCAGAAACAAGTTGTCTGTCTCCCCCAGTTTCCCATGCCTGTGGATTCCCAGCTGCCAGCAGGTTTATCGGCACACTGTGAAAGGGAGGCAGAGAAGCAGGGAGAACCGTGGGAGGCAGAGGCCAGGGAGGAGAACGCAAGGATGTGGTGTCTACTCGAGCTCTTTGCCCTGTGGTCATGAGCCTGTTTGGACAATACTTTTATTTCATCTTCTTATCTTGTAAATAACACAGTATCTTTGCTTCCCCTAGGTTTAGAGACGTTTAGCCAGTTAGTTTACCAAGACCGTTACGGAGCTGTAAGTATCGCTGTGGTGTCTAGCTTCAGTGTCTAGTTGGATAGACACTGCTGTTAGCATGTCGCCTTCCCAGCCGTCTTCTGAGAGTTCCTTTTCCCACTGTATTTAGCTTACAAATTTCATGCATTATTTCATCCTAATATATTTTTTTCCTTTTTAAAGATTTATTATATATACACAGTGTTCTGCCTGCGTGTATACCTGCAGGCCAGAAGGCACCAGATCTCATTATAGATGGTTGGGAGCCACCATGTGGGTGCTGGGAATTGAACTCAGGACCTCTGGAAGAGCAGCCAGTGCTCTTAACCTATGAGCCATCTCTCCAGACCCTGGTCCTAGATTTTTATCCAGTACTTGTATGTAGTTGTAGTCTTTGTTGAACTTGAGGAGAAAAACAATCTAAAACTCATTGAAATATATTTCTTCTCTAGCTCACCATCAACGAATCCACTATTATTGACGATCCAAGGTTTGCCCACAGAGGAATTTTAATTGATACATCCAGGCACTACCTGCCCATGAAGACAATTTTAAAAACTCTGGTAGGTGATTGCTTTATTGGCTCCCTTGTCCATCCTGAAGATCTGCCCCTCGGGTTCCTTTCTTGGGGTTTCTTCTGCTGTCCTGTAGGCTAGCATGGGCTTGTTTTTCTTATGTCAGTTCTAAGCATTGGGCTTCCTGATTCCTCCCCAGGGAAGAATGTTTCCCTGTGTGAAATGGACACATCCCTGAGGGGATCTCTCTTGTGTTTTCACAGACAACGTGAATTTGGCCAAGACTGTTGAGATTTGTTTGTTTGTTTTCAGCCAGGACTGTGGTATCTGTTCTCAAGCTCCCAATCTTCCTACCTCAGTCATGGGATTATCAGCATGTAATACTCTGTTTACTGAGAAAGGCTGTTGGTTTTTTGTTTGTTTGCTGTCTTGTTTTTGGTGTTTTTTTTTTGTTTTTTTTTTTTTTTTTTTTTTTTAAGACAGGGTCTCTCTGTGTAGCCCTGGCTGTTCTGGAACTTGCTTTGTAGACCAGGTTGGCCTTGAACTCACAGAGATCTGCCTGCCTCTGCCTCTCAAGTGTTGGGATTAAAAGCATGTGCCGCCACATCTGGCAGTAACTGAGAAAGGCAGTTTTAATACTGCTGTTGGCCCAAGTACATGCTCTTGTTTATCAGTCAGGGGTCTGGACATAGCCTGGAAAAAATGGCTATACCTCTCTAGGTGACATAGAAAGGGGTCAGGTCATGGCTTTTTCCCTTTGGAAATGCTCCAGAAGAGTATGGAACCTTGGGGTAGTGGGTAGGAAGGGGGGCTGATCATAGCTGTCCTTTGGGGGGGGGCTTTTCATTGCCTTGTCCCTGCCAACTTTAAGCTGCTTAAACTATTTAGAAGACTACAAAGAACTTTCATATATTCGTTGGGAATATATGAATTTAAAATTTATGAATATAAAAATTTAAAGTTTATGATTTAAAATTTTTATGCGGGCGGTGGTGGCAAACACCTTTAATCCCAGCACTCGGGAGGCAGAGGCAGGCGGATCTCTGTGAGTCTGAGGCCAGCCTGTTCTACAGAATGAGTTCCAGGATAGACAGAACCGTTTCACAGAGAAACCCTGTCTCGAAAACAAAAACGACAACAAAAATTTAAGTATTTGTTAAACTTACTTACAACTTATATTTGCCTGAGCCTATTATAATACCTGATGGGTCCATGCAGCAGGTGACTCAAAACCCCCAGAATATTAGTTTGCACCTCCTAGTGAAAGAAAGAACACATCTCAACAGTTTCAGTGAAGCGTCAGGAACAGGAAGCTGATAGCATGTGCCCTCTGGGTCTCCCTGCAGTGCAGACTCCACGGCTGAGAGCATGCGCCCTGTGCAGACTCCACGGCTGAGAGCATGTGCCCTCTGGTCTCCCCACTGTGCAGAGTCCATGGCTGAGAGCATGTGCCCTCCAGTCTCCCCGCAGTGCAGATTCCACGGCTGAGAGCATCCGCCCTCCAGTCTCCCCGCAGTGCAGATTCCACGGCTGAGAGCACGCGCCCTCCGGTCTCTCCCAGTGCAGACTCCACGGCTGAGAGCTTGTGCCCTCTGGTCTCCCCCGCAGTGCAGATTCAGTGGCTGGCAGTACAGGTCCCAGCAGGATTTGTGTTACATTTCCTTGTCCATCTCCTCAGCGACCTTCAGCCTGGAGCTGTTATCTTTCCTCATTTTGGAAGACTGTGATATTTTAGAAAAGCACAGGCCAGTTACTTTTTGAAAATATCTTAGGTCATCAGTTTCTCACACAAGATTCAGTTCCTGGGCCGAGAAGGAAGCAGACGCGGGCTGTGTTCCAAGAGAGTCAGGTGGCACACAGTCTCACTGTGGGGTAATATATACTCGGGCTGGCTGAGATATCTATTGTCTGTCGCGCTTCTCAGTGTATAGTTAACTTTGGGGTATTTTGTGTTTGTTTGTTTTTGTTTTTAGAGACAGGATTTCTCTGTGACTTTGGAGCCTGTCCTGGAACTAGCTCTTGCAGACCAGGCTGGCCTCGAACTTACAGAGATCCTCCCGCCTCTGCTTCCCGAGTGCTGGGATTAAAGGCATGCGTCACCACCGCCTGGCCTTTTTTTTTTTTTTTTTAAAAAATTTTATTTCTGTGTTTGTGTGGGGGGTGGGGGGCAGTACAAGATCTCCTGGAGAGAGCTTTCCAGGAGCGGAAGTGACAGACAATTGTAAGTCATCTGATGTGGGTGCTGGGACTCGAACCCAGGTCTTCTGGAAGAGCAGCAGGAACAGCAAGAGCTCTTAACCACAGAGCCACCTCTCTAACAATTATTTGTGCTTATTAAAACCCTACGGGAGAAATTGTGGGACTGTGTGAAGTCCCCACATCTCCTTGGTGCTCACCCACAGCTGATCCTCGCCTAAGTCAGGTTATTGCTTTGACAAACCACCGAGTGGTGATTTCCCTAGCTTCATCCTGTCTACATTTGCTGGTGGTAAGCAACCTTTTATAGTGAGGCAGAGCTGCCCTGTTTCATCTGAGTACTCATTATTTTGTCCATCTAGATTATCTATATTAACCCCTATATAACAGTCAAACTGGCCCTACTGTGGCCATTAGAAGCCCTTTTGAGCTGGTTTGCTTATTCTTGTGAGATGTCCCCTTCAATCTCTGTACTTTTGGCACCATGAGAGCCCAGGCTTATTTAGCTTCATCTTAGTCTAGATTCACACCCTCCCCCCCTTCTTTTCCCCCAAAGAACCCTTTCAGTGCTCAGTATTTCAAACCCAGATTTGGGCTATCGGTTGGTATACCTCCTGACTGTATAGACAGCTGTGAAGTGCGCCTGTATGTGTTCATTATGTTTATATGAACACACGGGTATACACCTTTCCCTGTCTCTCCGTCTATCAGATTTGGGCTATTGGTGGGTGTACCTCCTGACTCTATAGACAGCTGTGAAGCACGCCCGTGTGTGTTCATTATGTTTATATGAACACATGTGTATACACCTTTCCCTGTCTCACCGTCTATATCAGATTTGGGCTATTGGTGGGTGTACCTCCTGACTCTATAGACAGCTGTGAAGCACACCCATGTGTGTTCATTATGTTTATATGAACACACGTGCATACATCTTTCCCTGTGTCTCTCCATCTATAGCAGGAGTTTTTTCTTTAATTTTTATTTTTTTGTTTGTTTTTTTTCAACAAACATGCCAGGGTTTCCTATGTGGGAATTGTAAGCTTTGGTAATTACTTAAATGCTGTTTCTCCTGTACTCCACTCCCTAAGACAGCCTCAGCCTCTTCATCCCCTAATTCCTGGCCGGCCCTCAAGTAATGATAAATTAATAAGCTTGCCCTCCTATACAGCAATATCACAGCTTCTGTATACAGTGTACTTGCTTTAACAGAGGTGTGCCAACTTCACTACATATGATGAGTTTATACTTTCTCCTTAGTCTTTCTTATTTAAAAAGGAACTATAAAAAGCAGCACAGCCTACTGTAGAAGACTGCGTTCTTCTGTGGTGTGTAATTCTCCCTGTTTTCCTTTCAGGATGCCATGGCTTTTAACAAGTTCAATGTTCTTCACTGGCACATAGTGGACGACCAGTCTTTCCCGTACCAGAGTACCACTTTTCCTCAGCTAAGCGACAAAGTGAGTAATTCACGCCGTTGTCGTCCGTGTACCAAAATCCTTGGCATGGTTTCAGTGGTTTTCTTATAAATGGAACCATTGTGAAAAAGTTAGGTGTCTGTGGTTTAAAATGCTTTTTAGGTGGCTGGTTAGCTTTTTATTTCCATAAATCTTTTTGTACTTGTTGTTACAATTACTAAATAATAAGACTATTACTGTAAATGTTATTACAAACGTACTCTCTGGGAATAGCATACATGTGTTAAAAGCTTAATGTAGAAGACCTGGATAACTCATGACTAACACAGTTAAGATGCTCACTTGCCCAGCAGTCTCTTTACTTTAAATCGGGTTAGAAGCATGTAAACGACCTGCTTTTTCCTCCTTTGAAACACAAAAAAGACATTTTGGAGTTGAGCTGTTTTTGCTGTTGTAAGGGGAGGGGGGGTCTCAGGCTGGCCTTGAAAGTGGATCCCTAGCTTCCTCCCAAGTGCTGGGCTCACAGACAGGCGCCCGCACATTGGTGGTCTCTGCTGTGAGTGTTCAGGTGATGGAGCTGGGGAGGTCACCCTTGGGTCTCATCACTTAATCTCCACACAGCAGAGAATCAGCTGACACCAGAGAAGCTGCGTGTCTTGTCAGGACTCCTGTCCTCTGGCCACAGTTCCACCTCTAGTGTGTGTGTGGGCTGAAGGATGTGACTGTGAATGGCTGATGTGGTGGCTGCTCCTGCTCGTTTATGTGTGGTTTTCAGCACACAGAGGGACCGAATAGTTCATTTAGCGCCCAGCTCCACCGTCAGTCTGTGGCCAATTCTGCTGTCACCTGCAGACTCTACCCTTACCCCACCCGCTATTTTAAACCAAATTCCAGACTTATTTCATTTGTGGAAAGGCTTGGTTTTATCTAATCATCCATCACTACTCATATTTACCTAAGTGGCTTTTCCTCTTACGGGCCGTACACTATGGATGTTAATGTTGTGCCTGCTAATTCTCTTTTCTTATTATTAATTATTGGTACTGAGAAACCAATGGAATTTGGTGTCCTGTCTCTCTCTGCTGTCTTGGTTTTGTTGCTTACATTCCAAAGTATCAATTACCATGTCCCCCATATTTTGATTCGGGGGCTAAAGGTCAAGATAATTTCTACAGCTGAGCATGTGTAGCCTATATTTTGAGACAGATGCCAACCTTATCTTCCAGGGGACCTTCATCGTTACTTAACAACCAGTGCTAATTCTTCAGTGACACAAAGAGACCCAGGAAATAGTTAAACACAATTAAGTTACTTATTGTCTGAGGGTGAATTTTTAGGTGATACTAACTAAAAGACTGAAAGACAAAAATCTGTGTTTTGTAATAACGAGTGAGTTTGGATTCTAACCTTGATAAGGGCAGTGTTTTCCAAAGGTTCACTCTGGAGGAGGCAAAGATTTTGCTTGTTTTGCTGTTAGTTTTCACAGAGTTGAAGTAATTGTGGGATTCCTAAGTGGAAGACACTGACAGTCCCATCAGTGAATCTTGAATTCAATGGGCAGAAATCCAGTTTTTATAGATTCCTACTCTGACACCAGGAACCATCCACTGTTAGGCGGGACTAATTACCACCGTGTGATAAACAAAAAGACTAAATGACCAGCAAAGCGCAAACGGGACTGTGTACGGTTTCCAGGACCAAAGCCATCTTGCACATCTTAACTTGAATATTACAGGGGAGCTATTCTTTGCGTCATGTCTATACACCAAGTGATGTCGATACGGTGCTTGAATATGCCCGCTTCCGAGGGATTCGAGTTATACCAGAATTTGATACCCCTGGACATACACAGTCTTGGGGAAAAGGTAAGGAGTTTGTCTTACAGGTTGAAAAGGGGGCATCTGAGATCCTTTGTCTCTTAATAGTTGGTAGTTTTGTCCCTAACTGCAGTTTGTAAAATGGTAGCATGGATGCTACAGATTTTGTGTCCCTTCTAAGTCACTGTCTAGGTACCACCTCACGAATCAAAGTTGGGGAGGCAGAAAACTTGGCTCTAAGTAGACATAACGACTTAGTTCCGCTTTATTGATAGGCATGTTTTGGGGAGAGCACAGAATATACTCATGTTTCTGGTAGAGGGAACGGCACGAGGAAAGGCATTTGAAGAGAGCATGTCGTGTGACCAGGGTGGAAAAATTTTAGAGATGCTACAGGTGGCGACTAAGAAGGTGGGCCTGGTGCCAGCCTGTCTACCCTCGGATCCTGCTTTTGCCCTCTGGAGAGTAAACCTTAGGGAAGTTAACCCTTCACCTCCAGTTTCTGAGAAACAATTCTGAGCATCTAATAAACAAGAACAAGTACACAGCATGAGGCCCAGCATTTCTGATTGTTCAGTACACAGAAATACCGTGGTAGACAGGAAAACGGTGGGAAGTGAGCCTGGGAAGGGCATTGCCGAGGCTTTTGATGACAGCAGTGAGCTCTGTCAGCATGCAGCACGCCCTGGGAACCAGTGCAAATGTCTGAGTAGAAAAGTAACATGACTGGGGTCACACTTGGGGAAAACCTCTATGAAAGGGACAGATTGTAAAGAGAAAGACCCTGGAGGCCCCACACTGGGAGGGTCAACACGGGCTTGAGAAGTAATGAGCAGAACCAGAAATGTCCTGGAAGCACATTCAAGGAACTTGGAAACTGACTCCAGGAAGGACCACAGAGCTTGGTGAGGCCTACAAGCAGACCTGTCAGAAACCAAAGAGATTGGGCTTTCGTTAGATTGTACTGAAAGGCAGCTAGGGTCTCTATTTGTATTGAAGCACAAAGAAAATTTTGGGAGTCACTGATATTTGAAGTGAATAAGAGCTCAAAGGTTGTGTAAAAGCAGCAAAGGGGAACAGAGGAGGCAGCTCTTGTCTTCCTGTGGAGAAACCGCTAAATCAATCTTGGTAAATATGGTTGTTTTCTATATAAAATTTCTAAATCTTCAACAACCCAAAGGCCAGCTGGTCAGGTTTACAGTGATTTGTTATGATGGTATCAGAGGGAATCATACTCAATAGAAACACGCTTTGAATCTTGATCTTTTCCCGGGCTAGGGCTATGATTGAGTAGACACAGTCTTGAAGACTCCAGGCCCCAGCAGACACACAAACAGAGATGCAACAGTGTTGTGTGCTGAGCTACACTTGGTGGGTTAGGGTATCAAATGCATTTTTGACTATTGAAATTTTCACCTCATGGAGTTTATTGGGATTCAATACCATTGTAAGAGGACCATTTATAGCAGAAAGATGTGCAAATTCAGGACTTTGTGATTAATATCCTTATAAAAATAAATCTTTGTGTTTTCTTCTAGGTCAGAAAGGCCTCCTAACTCCATGTTACAGCCAGAGGAAGCAAACGCAAAGGGTTGGACCTATAAACCCAACTCTAAATGAAACCTATAGATTCCTTACCACATTCTTCAAAGAGATCAGCAGTGTGTTTCCAGATCAGTTCATTCATTTGGGAGGAGATGAAGTGGATTTTGAGTGTTGGTATGGTAACTCTAACCCTTTTATTTTTTCAGCTTCTTTTCTTAAAGTGTAGATCTACAGAATCCACATTGAAAAAGGGAAGACTGGGGTAACATCTCTCCTTGTAAGGGTTTGGACAGTCCCTGAGATGGTTAGCTACTAAAGGATGCATACTTGAGAGGTGCAACAAGGTGAAAGGAAAAAGACTCGAGGGGCAGAAGCTAGGCACCATGGCTCACGCCTATAACCAGGAGCAAGGCAAGCCTGGGTTATAAAATAGCACTGACTCAAGAAAAAGAGTAACACAATCTATAACCAGTCTTGGTGGGCATATCTAATTCTCTTATTCAGGACAATGAATGTGGAGTATTGGGAGTTCCAGGTCAAACTGACCTTAGGGAGATCGCCTCAAAAAACCTAAAAGACAGCTAGGTGGTGGTGGAGTGGCTCTGGACACAGGCCGTTAATCCCAGCACTCCAGAGGTAGAGGCAGGAGGATCTCTGAGTTCAAGGCCAGCCTTGAACAACAACAAAAAAACCAACCTAAAAGACTAAAAGGAAAGAAGAGCTTTAGTGAAAAGGGGAATGACTAGATAGGGGAGATGTTCAAGTCAGAGTCCTTAGCTTTGTGGGCCCTTTTTAAAAATGAAAAGTAATTTCTGGAAAAAGTATTTCTGGGAAAAATACTTTGCATTAGAAAAATCACGGGAACTATAACCGAGAACTTGGACTTTTAACACCTCAAAGTCTATGTAACTGATGTTCTGGGTGCGTGCTGCTTCAATAATAAGCTGGGCACGTCAAAATGTTTCTAACATTTCAGTCACTTTTTTTTTTTTTTTATTTAAGGGCATCAAATCCAAACATCCAAAATTTCATGAAGAAAAAAGGTTTTGGCAAGGATTTTACAAGACTGGAATCTTTTTATATTAAAAAGTAAGTCATTGGAAAGCCTAGACCCCAATGCTTTTGCACAAGTTTAAGGATAACTTCGTTGTCGGCTTTGCTTTCTTATTTTCTCCACCCCTTACAAAAGTGGAGACATGAAAACCCGCTACAGAAGGAAGAGCTCCACACCATTTCCTTACAACAGCGGGCGTTTTGCAATAACTCCTGAAATAGAAGGAAAGCCATGTGTCAAGAGAGTGCTCCACACCGTTTTCCTTACAACCGCTAGCGTTTTGCAATAACTCCTGAAATAGGAGGAGAAGGCATGTGTCTTGAGAACTTGGCTCCGAGTCCTGGCTGCCCAAATCCTTGTCACTGTCTAGGTCTGCATCTCATCCCATCTGTCCAGTCCTAGAGCATCCCTCTTGGTCCCTACTGTGGGCACAGCAGCCAGAGAGGCACACGCCTGTCCGTCACCTTAGAATTACAGACAGTTAAAAGTCCTCAGTTGCATCAACTACGCTTCCAGTGTTTTATAGCAAGGGGGATGGTAGCTGCTGGATACAGTGCAGACACAACATCCCCCAAAAGTTTGCAAGGACAGTGCTGCTCAGCTATGTTTTTCCATAATAGGACCAGAGCCTTGGTCTTCACGAACCATGTGGAGTTACCTATGTTTAAAAGAAGAAAGATAGAGATGGACAGACAGACAGACAGACAGACAGCTTTGCAGACTCGAAAGCCATTCTTAGCTTGTCAGTCATAGAAGAGAAGGCTGTAGGCTGTCGTTTTCCAGGCTCTGCTCTACCCATTAGAAAGGCTCAGAGTTCATGCTGTTCCTCCTAGTTAGCTTTTTGTGTGGTATATCTGTGGTGGCAACAGCTGAGTGTTACTGACGTGACATGACAGGCTAGGTGACAGTTTTCTTTCTGCCAACCTGTGGGTCTTGACCCCTTTAAGACCATAGGAAATATCAGATATTTACATTATGATTCATAACAATAGCAATATTACAGTTCTGAAGTAGCAACAATAGTTTTATGGTTGGGGTCACAACATGAGGAACAGCATTAGGAAGGTTGAGAACCATTGTCCTATAAAGATGTGTCATAAGCATAGGCTACACAGCTCAGTTGAAGCTGTCCACCCTGAAGTGTCCCCTGAGGGGTCTCTGCTCACGTATGGCTGCGTTGCACAAGTCCTAGCGAAATACTTGATTTTAATTAGAAGGAAGGGCAGGAACATCCAAGCAGTGTTAGGTCAGGGGGCAGAGCCTAAGGGTTCAGGAGAGGTTCAGAGAGAAACACCAAAAACCAAACATGGATCAATATTTAAAAATTAAGTCAAATTTTCTATATAAGAGGGTAAGATGTGTTTATCCTGAGCATGGATCACTAATCTTAATAATCTAGCCTGTGGGACTTTAGGGACTATACTTTCCGTGTAGTTTCTTTGGAGGCAGTCTCTTGTCAGCAAGACTATCTCAGGCTGTCTTGAGGCTGAAGGATTCTTTCCATTTCCCTTGTCCCTTACTCTTGTCTTAGCTCTCTCCCCTGCCTCAACTTTAAGCTGGTTCTGCATAGCTATGTTATACTGAGATGGGTACTTCTCAACACTGCAAGCTGTTCCTGGAAGAACACCTACATGGTTAAGAGTGGTAACTTTGTGACTCTAAATAACTGTCAACTTTTTCAATGCTAGGATTTTGGACATTATTACATCCTTAAAGAAGGGCTCCATTGTTTGGCAAGAGGTTTTTGATGACAACGTGGAGGTAAGAACTGTGAAGACTCCACTCAGGGCTGAGTGCTAGCTCACAGTGGGAAAGACTGCCTGCTGTACCAGACTGAGCATCCGCTTTAAAGTTGGGCGTTCAGCAGTTAGGATGATGGAAGGTCTGGAGGGCTCCATTCTTCACTGCTGAACTCTTTGCTACAGACAGATTCAAGGAGAGGAGGCAATACTTTAGTTTCAGTGTGTAGCTACTGGTGACCCTACCAGGTCCAACAGATAGTACCAGTCCAGCGGTCAGGCAAACCAAGTCAGCAGTCGGGGGAAGGCACTGGAGATTCAAGGGAGAGACTAATCAGTATGCATTATAGACATACACTAAATTGTCAAGAACAGAGCTCAAAAATAAAGCCAAGTTGGCTGGGCTGTGGTGATGCACACCTTTAATCCCAGCACTTGGGAGGCAGAGGCAGGCTGATCTGTGAGTTCAAGGCCAGCCTGGGCAGAGAAAGCCTGTCCTGAACAACAACAGGCCAAGCATGGCCTAGTGTACACCTGTAACCCAAACATTGTCAGGGCTGGGACTTTCTGGCTCCAGCATAGCTCCAGGTTCAGTGGAATGCGAGGGAATGCGGGGAGAGCAGGAAGGCAAGCCTGTCCATGCACCGGTGCATGCACTACAGCACGCAGACACACGACTCCATTAGTAATATGGACCACTCACTCACTGTTCCTTCTTGTTTCTTCCCCCAACTCCTGCTGTCTCACAAGTTCAAGTTTTTGAATTCAGTTCCTTTTTGTTTTTAGGAGCAAAACAGACACCAAATGAGCTTTTTAAAAACATAGTGGTTTTAAAACAGGTAAAATCAATATACACTTTTAAGAAATAGTTTTTTCCCTTATTATTTATTTGTAGTGTATCTTTTTTTTTAAAGATTTATTTATTTATTATGTACACAACATTCTGCCTCCATGTATGCCCGCACACCAGAGGAGGGCGCCAGATCTCAGTACAGATGGTTGTGAGCCACCATGTGGTTGCTGGGAATTGAACTCAGGACCTCTAGAAGAGCAGGCAGTGCTCTTAACCTCTGAGCCATCTCTCCAGCCCCTGTAGTGTATCTTATAAGCCCAGCTACCACTGTTATCTCTAAGGGACTGGTGATAGGCTCATGGTTTCAAGTTAAGTAGAACACTGGTGTGGTGGGAATGGGATCAAGGTACACACCTCACCCTAAGTTCTTTAGTCTCTGAGGTGTTAGCTATAGCAGAAGTTAAATGTTCAGTTTTAAGGGTTGATGAAATGTGAACGGCAATGGAAACACAGTGAGGGAATAGCACATGGCACTGACCGTTAGGAAAAAGGACGGATAATTCTTTTTCTAAGTTTTTTTTTTTTGTTTTTTGAGACGGGGTTTCTCTGTGGCTTTGGAGCCTGTCCTGGAACTAGCTTTGTAGACCAGGCTGGCCTTGAACTCAGAGATCTGCCTCTGCCTCCCGAGTGCTGGGATTAAAGGCTCTAAGATTTTAGGAAGACTGTACTTAGTAGACCTAATACTGTGATTGCAATCTGTACCTTTAGCTTCAGCCGGACACAGTGGTTGAAGTGTGGAAGAGTGAAAATTACTTAGAGGAGCTGAAACAAGTCACCTCCTCCGGCTTCCAGGCAATCCTTGCTGCTCCCTGGTACTTAGACGTCATTAGCTATGGGCAGGACTGGAGACAGTACTACACAGTGGAGCCTCTTCATTTTGAAGGTGAGCAAAGCAGCCATCACTTCTGGTCTCTCCTCCCAAATCTAACCTGGATGCCTATTATTCCTTTTATGACTAATCTTTGATTTTATTAAAAATAAAGCTTTGGTATCATTTTAACTTCTGGAAGGAACAATGTGCTAGTCTTAAATGAAATACCCCCTTAAATTTTGCCTCCATTTTTATGGAGTTGCTTTCTATATCTGAGAGATGGTTATGTGTGTTAAATTTTTTTAATTTTTTTTTGTTTGTTTTTTTTTTTTTTTTTTTTTTTTTTTTTGCTTTGTTTTTGTTTTTTTAAGACAGGGTTTCTCCGTAGTTTTTTTTGGAGCCTATCCTGGAACTAGCTCTTGTAGACCAGGCTGGCCTCAAACTCTGCCTTCTGAATGCTGGGATTAAAGGCGTGCACCACCATCACCCTGCAAGTGTGTTAACTTTAAGACACCTAAGTCAGGTTACCATTTGCATCTATGGACTTCAGGTTGTGTGGTCCGGGGTTTTCAGCTTTATTAGCAGTTCTAAATTATACAGTTCTTGTAGATCAGGCTTTAGCTTAGAAAATGATTAAAAGTCTCAGAAATATTGATCCACTAAAAATTAAGACTTTCTCTGGAAAGCATTTTGAAGATCAAAAGCAATCATTCTAAATAGTAGTTTTTAGTTATTCTTTTTTGTTTTGTTACTAAATACCAAGGAATATAAACCAAATATAAGTAGTGGTCATGGTCCATTAAAATGAAGCTAATATTCCAACTTGTATTTCGTGGCACACCACTGATCAGAAATGGGAGGAGGTGTCCAGACGAGTTTGTGCAGGCTCCTATGAAGAGTATCTCCTCCTGGCTCCCCATAGTCCTCTATGTATGTTGAATAGCACTGAGCCAGGGTGGGAATAAAGGTTCTGGTGCCTACAGGAAGGGAACATGGGATGACTATAGAGAGGGAGCCAGTGTTGTACAGCTTAACTCCTTTCCCTTCAACCACTTTAATGCAGGTTCTGAGAAGGAGAAACAACTAGTCATTGGTGGAGAAGCTTGCCTGTGGGGAGAATTTGTGGATGCAACTAACCTCATTCCAAGATTATGGTAAGGAATGGAAGGGATGCCAAATGACTTAAAAGATGCTTTGGTTCTTCTCTGTGCTAGTAGGAAAGCCCTGAAGAATTTCATTAAGTAGATGACTACCTTGGGAGACACATTTTAAATTTCAGGCCTCGGGCAAGCGCTGTTGGTGAGCGGCTCTGGAGTCCTCAAGCTGTCACTGACCTACAAGATGCCTACAACAGACTGACGATCCACCGGTGCAGAATGGTCAGGTGAGAGGCACCCTTCCAGCCTAAGAGCTTACTAAAGTCCAGCCTTCGCTGTAACTCCTGCCGTCAGCTTTCTGATTAGCAGTAAATAAAAACATCACCTGGGAAGCAGTCATTTACTTGGTAGAAGTTACCACTCACTGTTGCGGGGGAGAAAGTAACACCTACAAGACATATTTAGTGTAGCTGCCATCTTAAAGGAGTTAGTAGCTTAAATTAGAATCATCAGATCATCACAGAGTGGGGATTTGCTGAAGTGATCTGAGATGGGAGTCTAAGCATCTCTTTGTTATCTGTCAACAGCCGTGGAATAGCCGCACAACCTCTCTTTACTGGACACTGTAGCCTTGAGTACAGAATGGAAACGTGAACAGAAGTCTACAGCAGTCTGAGCTAGAATCATGTTGATTGTGAAATCATGTAAAATTAATATTTGTTAGGTATTTTTTAATAAACCATCTTTTTATTGATTGAATCTCTATCTGTATCACACATCGAATACTGGCATCTTTTATTTGAGCAGCTTAAAAAATAAAAGGAAAAGCTTTGTGATATCACTCAAATACTCCAAAGGGCTATATGAATACGTTCATCATTGTGACGGCTTAACTGAGAACTGCTGGGCTACAAAGGAGGCTCAGCATTTAAGAGCACTCGCTACTCTTACAGATTCTGAGTCTGAGCTCAGCTCCTGGATCTACATGGTGCCTCATAAACATCCATAGCTCCAGCTCCAAGGGATGTTCAAGGGATGTTCACATCACTTCTGACCTTCACAGGTATAATCAGGCACACACATGATATACAAATATGTATGTAGTCAAAACACTCCAAGGAAAGAATGTAAAAAGAAAATTTTAAATGAGCAATGTTCCTCATAGGCCAGGCCTTCTACATGTGCTTTCCAGTGGGTGCTATTTGGGGAGGTCCAGGAAATACAGCCTTGCTTGAGGAAGTTCATCACTGGTTGGACTAGAGAGCTCACAGCCAGGCCCTCATTTTGGTTTCACTCTGCCGTGTTTGAGGTTAAAGGTGGGCTTTCTCAGCTTCCTGTTGCCTTGCTGTCCCTGCAATTACGGACTCTCCTTCGGAACCTTTAGCCAAAACCAAACCCTTTCATAAGCTGCCCTGGACAGGTTGTTTGCCACAGCAACAGAGGGAAGGGATCCACCCAGGGCACAGAGTGGAGGTGCATTACAGCAAAGCATGTTCCACACACAATCAGATGGCAGCTCTGACGCCAGTATCCACGTCTTTTGTCAAGTTCTTTTTATATACCAAAGCAGTAATTTACCAGCCAATGAATAAAACATCACTCTTACTGAGAACGAAGCAGGTACATGTTTTTTTTCTGGGCATTTTTCCGTGTTTCCAAGGACCTAAAGCACTTGGGCCAAACCACTTCTCTGGTTGAGCAGAGCAGTTTGGTCTTGAGGACTCATGGCTTGATAAGTAGAGAATTCTAAGGCAAAAGTAGCCGAGCCTGAAGTCAGCGTTCGGAGCACAGTTGAGTATCCCTAATAAAAAAAACTTCAGTTTGTTATTGCAGTATATTCAGGCCATAAGTTTCTTTTCCTGCTGATCATCTTTAGAGCACAGCAGAGAAGGTGGTGGTAGGGCAGGGCCAAACCACTGCTTCCAGGTAGATCTTTTCGGGAGTGGGGGATATGACTCTGTCCTTCCTCCTTATCAGTTGGTACCCCTGGTGCCTACCCCAGGAGCCAAAGCGCCTGGTTGGGGAAGAGAATGACGCTGGCTTCAAAACTAAGGCAGAAAGGGGAGAGTGGTCATTCAGACTAACCACATTTTGGCCAGTCTGCCATAATCTTTGTGGTCCCAAGGTTGGAAATAACCTGCCTCAAGTGCTATGTCCCATAGCTCTCACCCACTACTGACGGCCAAAGTCTTCCCTCCTGGTGAAGTTTCTAAAAGTGGATGAAACTTGGCACCAATGCCTGCAGGTGTTAGCAACCACCTAGTTTTACTCAGTGTAGATCTCGTATACTAAACAATATGTACAGTTCAAATGCAAAGAACTTACCATCATTTCTGCCAAAGGAACAAATCCTATAACAACTTTGCTGTCCTGGCGAGTTTGAATTTCCTGAATATTCCCTCTTCTTTGGGCCAAGTCTGCCAGGACGGGGCTGAGGTAATCTCCAGTCACTGTGACCTCAAGACTCATCAGCGGCTCCAGCACCTGCTTCTCAGCTTTCTTCAGGGCCTGAAGGGAGTTCATAAGTTGAATAAATTTCTATTCAAGTAAAAGGAAGTTACATAAAAGCTGAAAAACTGAACTATTTCCAATATTCTTGAGCCTAGGGCTCTGGTGACCTCAGTTGCTTTAACACTGCAGAGATAGTGTTTTCTAAGAAACCAAGGTCTTTAATACTTGATTATACATACTAGTGGTCACATGCTAAGAAACCAAGGTCTTTAATACTTGATTATACATACTAGTGGTCACATGCTGGAGGACAACAACGTCAACAGTCAAGATGGCAGAAACATTCTCTATAAACAAACCCTTGTGTAACACACAGTTTACAATCTTAGACTTTGGAGGCCACAAAAGGAAGCTGAAAATGTTTTCAAGATAATTATGTGGGAAGACATAAAATTAAGGCAAAAATGAGACTGGGCTCTGTACCTCAAGAACCAGTTTAAAATTTTTAAAGTTACATTTATTCGTGTGTAGCACATGCTCTAGGAGTCAGGTCTCCTTTCCACTATAAGCTCTGCCAGCACAGCCGCCTGTGGAGTCTGTGGTGCCCACTCAGTGCCCTCCCTTACACTGCTCCCTACCTTCTGGACACATCTTGAGACACAGGCATTAACCATAGTTGTGGAGGTGCCGGGGTGAATCATCAATGAGTGTAACGTTATTGCCACATCTTGAACTGGGGATCCAAGTAAAGGTCCTGAGTAAGGGGGAAAATAAAGCAGAATAATATATAGTCACAAAGAATAATGCAACAAAAATACAACTCAAGTACAAAGAATACAGACAGAACATGAAGTATCTGTAAAACATGGACTAATTAGGAGACTAGCAGTGTAACACCAAGGCAGAATACATGCTGCTGTGTACAAGAAACTGGCTCAAAATACAGATGAAAAAAGGGATTAAGTCCTCAAGGGGGAGACTGTGATATTATTTGCTTCCCTTACCCTGGAGGCATGCACTGTGGACTGCATTTTCAATGGCCTCTTGGGAGGCCTGCACTAGGTCTTCACTGACACAGTCAGCATACTCAATCACAGCCCTGCTGGACGGTGCTTCCCCTGGCCGGGCTTCCAGTTCTGCTCTCACAAAATGCCGCTTGTCGCCTAAAGTCCTGTCTAGGGTATCTGAAAACAAACACATTGAAATGCATGAAAAATAAGGGGGTGACTCCAGACAATGCTCAGCTTTTGGCCAAGAAATAAAGGAAACCAAAGCAAAATGCCAGGAACAGACTGCTAAAGGGTAGAGGCTGCCTTCACTGAAATTGCCTGCTTCAAAAGTCTGAGTCTACTCAAAAAATAGTCTTTAAGATTATCAAATAAATGGCCCACACCTTTAATCCCAGCATTCAGGAGGCAGACCGGGCCAGCTTGATCTGCAAAGTAACTTCCAGGATAGCTAGGGCTGTTATGCAGAGAAACCCTGTCTTGAAAAATCATGCGCGCGCGCGCGCACACACACACACACACACACACACACACACACACACACACACACACACACAGTATCAAATGAGTGGAATAGATGACCAGAGCTTGAAAAAAAGGTAACACTCAGATTATAAAACATCTAGAGAGTATATAAAGCGGCTAATGAAAACTATAAAGTGCGTTCCTTTGCAAATTTCCAAACTGTTAAATTTCATATATCCTTTCAGCAACATTTAATGTTTCTTTCCCAAAAAACTTTCTTGAAATATAGGTAAACAGTTTTCCTTGGTTTTGTTTTTTTTTTTACCTTTTTTTTTTTTTTTGAGACAGAGTCTCACTGTGTATCTCTGACTTTCCTGGAACTCACCAGTAGACCAGGCTGGCATTGAACTTACAGAGATCAACCTATCTCTGACTCCCTAAGTGCTGGGATTAAAGGCGTGCACCACAATGTCAGGCTCTAATTTCTTTGTAAGTGCTGGGGACTGAACCCAGAGGCCTTGCTCTATGTCCACATTCTTACAGCTCTACTGACACAAAATGGCACCTTCCCGTGAGCAGCAATGTAATGCAGCCACTCAAATCCTACACTCAAAACTAAAAACGGAGCCTTCATAATTCCTTTTGAGCTCGCTACTATGAAACATCCAAGAAAGTATACATAAACTAAAAAATAAGATGAACAACATGAAACCAGGATTTCTAAAGAAACAGAAATTGCCAGTACCTACGGTACCGTTCCCACGACTGTCTTCAGTGTCCTCATCTGCATGTACCCTGTGCACATCTGGTTATTACTTCTGCACCTCCCTTTCTACCAGGCTGTGTTCCCAACCTGCCATGGCCTCCACCTCTCTCAGGAGACTTCACACTCCACTCTGAACAGGACCTGCCCCTTCCTCCTGCTATTACGTCTCACGCACTCGTGAGTTCCCACCACTCCACAGAGGAGTGCATCACTGTCTGCATCGTCTCTTGGGTTTAACGACTCTGTTTGACAGAGAACGAAGTTTTCAAGCTGGCAAACTGGTTCTTATAATCCTGGGACTTTTTTCCCTTTTTAAAAGCAACTGTTTTCTTTTTTGTATAGTACCTGACTGTGAGATACCCTCAAGGCCTGGGTTGAAATAAAACTCTCTGGAGACTTTCTGCTTCCTTCAGCTTCTTCAAGATGCTACCTAACAGGTTCTGTAAATTTAGGCTTAAAACTCTGTATCAGAAGCTTACAATCACGAATCTGGATTCGTGTCTCAATGCCACTGCCTCAGCTTCTAAGGAGAAGACTCCCCCACGGCAGCTCTGTGAGGAAGTGGCCTCCATGCTGGGGCACAGAGGACAGCTGATGGCTGCAGTGTGCACTGACTTCCCTCTTCCTTTTGAACTCCAGAGTTTTGTGCTAACCAGCTCGGGCGTGAATTTAAAAGGGTATCATTCATGTTTATCTTGGTTTTACTGCTGCAGATGTGCAGTCCAGAAACAGCCCCATGTCACTGCATCCATGCATAACTGTTTAAGTTCCAGTGATATGTGGCCGCCTGGACTCAACAAATTTTGGGTGTGCTTAAGGGCACTTGGTTATCTTGAGCATTTCTGGTCTGCATGCTTCACACCCTGTCCACGCATGGTTCACTTTGGGGTAGAAGTGCTCATTGTTATTTCGCTTAAAAGAACCAAATACAGAAAAGCTGGGCACTTACATTCAGGAAGGAAACATGAAACCTGCACTTTCTCTAGAATGCTACTCATTTTTATAAAATAAATATAATTCATTGACTTCAAATTCTTCTGCCATTGCAGCAGTGAGTAAAGTAAGCACGCCGTCTGCTTCACCAGCGTATCCTGTCCCACAGCCACTGGAAGACGCCCTGTCTGATGAGCGCACAGTAATGCTCTAGGCCTTCTGTGTCTGTCACAAAAATTTTTAACACCTGACACAGTAAAACTGTGGGAGACACTAGAAACTGTGACCCCTGCCCATTTATACAACTAAACACTGACAAACTCAGAATGTCCAAAATGTTTTATTTTTTACCTGTGGCACGAACTGAGTTTAAGATGGTTTCCCGGTATGCCACCTGCAGAGGCCCTAGATAGGTCTCTAGGCCATATTCCCTCTTGATTCGGTCATGAATAATCTCAATATGTAACTCCCCCATACCACACAGGACTGTCTGTTTATAAAAGGGAAAAAAGAGAAGACAAAATACTATATACAGAGAAAGAATTTCAAAAATATTATAAAAAGTCATGATGTTCACATATTTAAGTAATTTTCCATTAATTACAACTAAATTTCTTTTGAAAATTTTTTTGGGCTCCTATATAAAAATATTACTGACTTTCCTGGCTAGGATAATAGATCAATGTAGTCTCTTTTCACAACAGTTTGGTTACCAGTTGGGTGAGTAAATGGCATCAAGTTATTTAACCCCTATATAGAATTCTGGCCAATGCAACAGGAGTACAATCAATATCTGGACTGTGCTTTGTATCTTCTTTCTTTGTGTGCAGCTTGTTTATTGTTTATTTATTACTGTATATGTGGTATGTTTGTGTATAAAGTAGAGGAGAAGCTTGTGCAGGGGTCAGAGGACAACATATTTGGAGGCCTGGGCAGCCAGTGCTTTTACTCACTAAGGCATCTTCTTGGCTCTAGTTTTTAATATTTTATATGTATGGGTATTTTGCCTGCATGTATGTGTGTGCCCTGCTGGTATGGCTGATGCCCACTGAGCCAGAATAGAGCACTGGATACCCTGGACCTGGAGTTACAGATGGCGGTAAATCACCATGTGGGTGCTGAGAATTGAACCCAGGTCCTCTGGAAGAGCAGCAAGTACTCTAAGCCACCTCTCCAGCCCTGGTTTGCTTTTTGACAGGTTTTTACTTGTGTGCAGTCTAGATTCACCTTAAACTTGTAGCAATCCTATTACCTCAGCCTCTCAAGTATTGGAACCAGACATGAACCACCCAAGACCAGGCTAAATCACTTTTCTTTCTTCTTTGGGTGGTGCAAGTTGAGGGTGGACTGTGTGGCGATATTTTTCAGCCTAGGTCTCATTAAATAGTGCTGGCTCTCATGGAACTCACTTTGTAGACCAGACTGTCCTAGAACTCAGAGATCCACTTGCCTCTGCCTCTCAAGTGCTAGGATTAAGGCGTGTGCCACTACACTCAGCTAAAACCCCTTTCTTAGTGAAAAAGCAGACAACTGTTTGAAACTATGCTGAAGATGACGCCTTGAGAATGAGGTAAATAGCTTCCCCTAAAACCTCCCAACTACATGGATATTTCTTAAACGCTGGAGGGAGTGACAAGCGCTAGGCTAGTTTGAGCATGGATATAACAGAGAAATAGGCCTCTATGGTTTCTGACCTCCCTCTACTATGCTGCTTCTATAAGCATCAGTGTAAAAGACACAAGAGTTGAACCTTATTTTAAAACTTCACAAAAGCCTGTATTTTGGAAAGTCAAAAGTGATGGGGAGTGATCTGTACATGTGAAATGTAATTATTTTAGGGAATTGAAGAGAGTCTTTATTTAGCATGACAACATCATAAAGGGAAACTTAAATTATGAATCAGAGTGTAGACTAGTCAAGGTCATATGAATGTCTTCCATCTCTCCCTTCTAGGGCTGGGTAATAAATACGTACTTGTCCAGAGTCAGGATCAATCCTCACTTTCAAACTGGGATCTTCACGCTGAAGGCGGTCCAAGGCATGATCCAAATCTGAGTGGTTAAACAATACCTATCATTATCGTCACTTCATTTCTATGTAAATAAACTATGAGTCTGAAGTGGGGAGCATAGACTAACAATCAGGTACATTGATAAAAAAAAGAAAATTTCAAAGAGTCATAAACGCAGAGACTAACACAAGGTAAGATAATTCCAATGAGAGGCGCTTAAGAGTGAGTACGTGCACACATCTCCACAGTGAGAGGTACAGCAGCAAGCAGGCTGGCGGCCAGACATCAGCCAGTGAAGAGCAGCAGTAGATGAGAAGGAAGGTGTCTTACAAGCCATGCTGGGAAGTCTGCCTTTATACTGGGAAGCCTGAAGGACATTAAAAGGCCAGTAATGTCAACTGGCTCTGCTTCATAAAGACAAACCTAGGAGCCGACAAAAAGCCAACAGGCCTTCATAAACACTGGCTACAATGACGAGCCAGCAAAGGGAAGATAAAATGACATCTGATCCCTCTGGTGAATTCTCAACTACAGGTGACTCTGAGAAGAATCACTGTGTGCTATGTGGAGTCAGACAACGACAGACTTTACTGATGAATATGCTTGCCTTCTTTATAAAAGTTCCATGGACTGAAAAGTGCAGCCGTAGGAAAGAGCTGAACCACAGATTAAAAAGCTAACCTTTATCATTATATTCATTCAAATTGTTCATAGGTATATAAACCAGGCCTTCTAGAGCTGCGCTGCCCAACAGTAGCCATTGGGCATTTTAAGTATTACTGCTCTGAATTAATAGGTACTATAAATGTAAAATGCATACCATATTTCAAAGACTTCACATAAAAAAATAGTACTTTAAAAAGATTTATGTGTAAGAGTACTCTGACTTCTTGTATGTCTATGCACCATTTGCATGCTGATGTCCTTGGAGGCCAAAGGAAGGTGTCAGATTCTCTGGAAATTGAGTGACAGATGGTTGCTGGTCACCATGATCCAGCACTGGATTCTGGGAACCCAAACCAGTCCTCTGCAAGAACAGGGGGTGCTGTTAACCACTGAGTCATCTCTTGACTCATTAATGCTTTTTCTATTACTTCATGTTAAAATAATAATAATAATGGATGAATATCCCTTATCTGAAATGCTTGAGATGAGAAATGTTCAAATTTCCCATGCATTTCAGATTCTGGATTTTCTGTATCTTTTTCTTTCTTCTAAATGTTTTACGGATGAGTGCCTGCATGTAAATATGTAGCAATGACTGGTTGTTACTGAGGAAACGAAAGAGAGCATCAGATCCTTGGAACCTGAGTTACTGGCAGTTGCGAGTAGCTGTGTGTGCTGGGAACTGAACTCAGGACCTCTGATAGAGCAAGTGCTCTTACTCACTGAGCCGCTGCTCCAGCCCCTCTACATCTGCCTTACATAAGATACTGTTCCTTCAGCAACCGGACAAGAAAAGACACGGTTTCTTTCATTACTCAGGCTCTTACATCTGCACTCTGATTTCTTTCATGTGCACTCTAGCTAAGTAGATGAAGAACTGCAACCCCACCCAGTTAGAGGTTTCCTTTCCCATTACATCATAGGAGATACAGAGAGGAAATAAAGACTGCTCTTCCTCTCCCATAATCTGTGAGTCCACGTCATCTTTAAAGGGAGTAAAGAAAACTATAAAGCTTGTCTTTAGGTAGTCTTCATAACTGAGTATTCATTGAGAGCCTCATAAAGCATTGATGTTTGAGATGAGACCTACAGCGTTTTAAAGACAGACAAGTTCAGGGAAAACCATTACAGTATAAGCAAGACTATGTCAAAGAAGAGAATACACAACACAAAATGGCACACCATCTTCAGGAAGTAAGAACTGGTTCATACTTTAGATGCAAAAAAGTGAATTAGTTAAAATTCATGTCCTAATTAATCTAACACACTAGGAGGGCAGGGCAAGGTAGGGTCAATTACTTAGAATCCTATAAAAAAGCTTTACAAGGCCGGGTGGTGGTAGTACAAGCCTTTAATCTCAAAGCTTGGGAGGCAGAAGCAGGTGGACCTCTGTGTTTGAGGCCATCATGGTCTACAGGACGAGTTCCAGGACAGCCAGTGCTATACAAAGATACCCTGTAAGCCAAAAATAAAACAAACAAACAAAAAAACCAATACAACAACCAACCAACCAACCAACCAACAAAAGCATTACAAGAATAAGAATGAGAAGTATATGAAAGTAGAAAAATGGCTAAGATATATATGGCGTTTGTAAAAGTCAAAGCGATTTAAGTAAAGCACAGACCAGACCACAAGAAATGCTGAACAGTAAAGGCAAGTAAAATCTAACTCTGTCATGCAGGAAACTCTATCATGTAGGAAGTCTCCTGAGGACTCACTGTGACCACTTCCCATACACTACAGACACCAATGAACTGAGACACAAAGACTGTACCTGGTTGCTTAGCCACTGATGGGGGTTCTATGGTGCAGAAGAAAACAGGTTCTGGGATCTCCACCCCCGCCAACAGCAGACTCTCTGCTTCATTGTTTTTCCCAGGCTTCTTTTCTCCCCTTCCTGCTCGACGGGCTGCAGCTAAGGCGCTGGACTTGGAAGAGACTATGGTGTCTCCAGTGGCAGTCTGCAAGCAAATGGGACAGCTTCCTGGCTAGCACTCTTCCACCCAAAACCACTAGACAGAATGTTAAAAGTTGAATTCTTCTCATTCAACTGAAGGAAATAAATTCACAGATCTTACAACTCTACATAAACAAAGCTCATTTACCTTGTTTAATAACCCTACCTAAAATGTCATTGTCATAAGTTCTAAAAGGGCTGGAGAGGTGGCTCAGAGGTTAGGAGCACTGGCTGCTCTTCCAGAAGACCTCAGTTCAATTCCCAGTAACTACATGATAGCTCACAGCCATCTATAATGAGATCTGATGCCCTCTTCTGGCCTGCAGGCATACACGCAGGCAGAACAATATAATACATAATATATACATAATAAATAAATAAATCTTTAAAAAAAGCAATTTGGGGAAAAGGGGTTTATTTTTAAATAAATTCTAACAAATAATGAAACATATATATAATACACACCAAACCAAAGTTTACTAGCAAAAAATGTATTCATCTGCCTCAATTTCCCATCATGGCAAGGCAGGTTCACTAAAAACTCGTCATGTTTTTAACACCAGTTAAGAATTTCTTACTGCCAGGCAGTGGTGGTGCACGCCTTTAATCTCAGCACTCAGGAGGCAGAGACAAGGCATTCAAGGCCAGCTACTACAGAGAAACCCTATTTTGAAAAACTAGAAGAAAAAAAAAAGGAATTTCTTACTGTTTTACAAAAAAAAAAAAAAATTCTCTATTACCTCGAATATCCAATTAAACAGAACACACAGAGAGACACTAAGAAGAAGTTCCATGGGGATAGAGCAGTATTTTACATAAACATAAGATACGCCCATGAGTACTATGGACTGCACGTAAACTGTTTCATGCTCTGCTCGTGTTAAGGCTGTGCTGTAGACAACTCTCCAAATGTTTACAGTGCTCCTTCAAATATGCACCAGGAGCAAGTCCTGCCTTCAGGAAGACAGAGAAGACAACAATAATAGAGCCGGGTTCAGTCAGGCATGGCAGCACACCCTTTAGTCCCAGCATTCAGGAGGCAAGGGAAGGCAGATATCTGAGTTTGAGGCCAGCTTGGTCTACGGAGAAAGTTCCAGGACAGCCAAGGCTACACAGAGAAACTCTTTTCTCCAAAATATCCCAGGTATAAAATTCAGACCATGGAAGTTTTCTCCTAAACATTGCTGAAAACTGCAGTTACTTATGGAGAGTTAAAAAGGTTAAAGTAACAATTTTTATCCCAATATGAGATGTGCCCAAGTTTAATAGAAAAATACATTTGACTAATCTGAATTAAAAGAAAGTTTTAACCCACCCAAACCAGATGTGGCTCTAAGTGTGTCCTTCCATTCGCTCTGTAAATGTCTAGGAGGTGTCCATTGTGTGCAAGCACTCAAGTCCACTGCAGACTGAGAACCAACCAAGAACAAGACACCCAAGCTCTGGCCCTTAAAGAGCGCTTGACAGCAAAATGTCTTCATCATTAGCTCATCAGTTGTACGGTTAGATCAAACTTTCTGTCATGGTCAACCAGGCAAACACTCACCAAGCATAGCAGTAGAGAGTTTGAGACCAGCCAGGGATGAACAGCAAGCTCAAGGCAAGCCTGGGCAACTCAGTGACAGAGAAAGAGAGATCCTTCCCATACCCCCCCACCCCACAAACACACAAATAGGTGAAAATTCCATGCAAATAAAACAGTATTTTAAGTAAACTTAACATACACATTTCAACAAGTAGTAGACTACTTGGCGTTGAACTTTATTTGACTATAACTCATTCTGTCTGGGGGTTTCTCTTAATCTGTTTTTCTTTCTAACTAATGTATGGCATTCAGCCATATTGATGACTATGCCATCATATTTCATATAATGACATTCAGATGATTTGTAAAATTTTTGCTAATATAAACTTTATAAATCACATTTACATGATTTGCTATGGAACCCATGTGGTCACTCACTTGTTTGAGACCAACTGTCAAAGCAATGTTACCAGCAGTCAAGGAAGGGATCTCTACATGCTGGTCAGCAAATGGCAAAAGCAGACGACTCATTCTCTCCCTATAAAAAAACATAATTTATAACAGTAAAGTACTTTGAAATAAATGAGTGCAGTTTTAGGAAAAAGCCCAAATCTTCCCCTTACGTGCAGTTTCTGTTGACGTTATGGATGGCCAGCTGGGGCTTCAGTGTGCCCGAGTAAATGCGCAGGAAAACCAGGGGTCCTCGCTGCTTGTCGTGCAGTACTTTAAATGCCAGTGCACACAAGTCACCCTTATACCACTGCCTGCAAGACAGGGGAGGCATTAGAGAAGGCCCAGCTCTGCACAGATCACCAGGGTTCTCCAAAGATCACATGTATCTTTAGTAAAGTTATCCAGACCCAGGAAGTAATGTCACTACAGCCCTCTCTTCCATCACTGACTAAAATACTTCATGGAGAGCTTACCAATAAATCTTCAAAACTAAAAGGAAAAATAATAGGTTTTCTTTCAAGTACTGCCATATTTGCAAACATCTTCATTGCACAAACTCTCTCCTTAAAAAGCGTACCCTCAAAGGTCATAAATCCAAGGAGTCTAAAGGATAAATGAATGTTCTTTCTATTGTTGCTGTTGGGCTCTCACTTCACCTCATGTATAGCTGATAACACCACCAGTCTACAGTGGAAACTGGAGCTTGTTCACAGAGATCGTATTCTTAAAGAAATGTAAAGCTTTGAATTTTCCTGAAGGTGACAATTTTTGTGCATAGGTGCATTTTTCTGAAAAAAAGATAAATGGTATGTTCACCAGTCTCAAGGAAGTCTATGACGCAGAGTAAGTTAAGCACTTCTAACAACATTCCTCGTTAGATTTCTGCCTTTAACTTTAGTGGTTCAAATGAGGAAATTTTCTACATGCCAGCACCGGTCCTTATGCTTAACAAAGATGAACTCACTTTATTTTTTAGGTCACACTTCACTGGGTCACCTGGAACAAGGCTACATGAAGCCATGCCCACGCTCACGTCTCACGATGCCTTTCAATTTAGATGTGAAAAATCACTGTTCTTCTTAACATAAAACCCATTTCTCCGCTATTCTGCTTAACACTACTTCAGATGTTAGATTTCTATTAAGCAAGTCCAGAGCTGGACAGCAGAAAGAAACAATCATCTTTTTGAAAAACAAAACAAAACCACAGAATATTTACCATAAGAAAATCCTGAAATCTAGATGAATATAAACAAATCTACTAAATGAGTAACCTTAAAGAAAAACAAAACAAAACAAAAAACCAAAACTCCAACACAGATGGCAAAATCAACTCTCTGGGGAAAAAGCCACCTGCACAGTTCTACCAACTATGACAAGTTTTAAAAGAAAGCAAAAGTTTTCAAGTGAAACTTACTACGGCTCTGTATCGTTTACAGAAATATTCTTACCACTGTTTTCTATTTTTTAAAGGCTACTTTAAATGGCTACTTTTTATCAAACACGGCCTTTCATTTTCCCAGGCCTACAGATTTAATGTGTTTGGTCACATACTTACAGAAAGCCATACTCGCGCTCCTCAGGTGACGGCAAGTACATAGTGACGGCATCCAGCAAGGGCTGCACACCCTTGTTCTTCAAGGCACTCCCACACAGCACAGGCACTGCGGCCCGAGCCAGCGTCACTCTGTGTATCGCGGTCTGTAGCTAGAGGTATAGAGAAGGAGCATGGATCTGTGCACAGTATACGTGTCTGTGAGACTCTCCCAGTCAGACGCTTGTCCTGAACGCCCGTGTAAGCCAGCACTCTTCCCCACACCTCCACCACTCTGTATGGCTCCACTGTTTTGTAACCTTAATCACTACTCAGCACGTGGAATGTCGGTGGTTGTCTCTTGTTCCCTAGAGTAAGTCTATATGAGCCTTACAGTGAGGTCTCTGAAAATACTGTGAAGCACCAGAAGACAGAGACATTTAAGGTACATCAGATGCTGAAAAATACTGAAAAACGGTTGTATGCTCTGGGGCTGGTCTCTGCATCACGGCCAGCTGTCGTTTTCTGCAGATACAGAGAACTGCACTTACCCGTGGGCATAAGGTTTAGAAGGCAGCTAGAAATTCTGCTGGCCTAGGAAAGGGGCAGGAGTTGGTTCTCCTCCTCTGAGAACCAGGACCTCAGGCCCGCTTAGAGAGCTACCAGTAAGAGAAGGTTAACTGACCCTGGCTCTATGGAGAAAACTGCACATGCTGCTGGCACTAAGCACTAATAGGAGCAGTGACTTTTATTTGTAAGCCACTTTTAAAAAATTTGTTTGTTTGTCAAAACAGGGTTTCTCTGTGTAGCCCTGGCTGTCCTAGAACTCATGCTATACACCAGGCTGGCCTTGAATTCACAGAGGCACACCTGCCTCTGCCTCCCCAGTGCTGGGGTTAAAGGTGTGTGCCACCACCTAGCATAAGTCATCATTTTTTAATAGTGTAAAAAGTTAACACATACATATACACGCCCCAAAGACAGAAAAACCAAACCAAACTTATTCACTTAGTAAGATTTTGTTTAAATGACTAAATAACACATTACCTTTTCAGCTGGTACCAAATCAAAATTGTCACTAAATTCTCCTAAAACCAAGTCAGCAAATTCATCATCCAAATCTGCAACCTGTGAAGAAAGACAAACTTGTGTAACTTGCATTTAGTGTCATCCTTAGCTAGCAACTTTACAAACGTCACCAGAGAGATCGCTCAAGGCAGCAGGATAACCTGCTGTGCACAGGGCAAACAACTCCTTACACCTTTTGAAAACACAATTTGTTTTTTCATTTGTTTTTGCTTTCCAAAGAAAAGGAAAGTGGGAATTGAGAAAGCACTGTGAATCTCCTGAAGTCACAGAGAGCCAAAGGTGGATGTAATCACATTATCTGCTTAAACGTCTAATGCACAACGGATGATGTTCGTAACAAGGACTGGCAGTTTGAGGATGAGCCAGGGGACTTTTCGTCCATAACATGTGTCAACCTGTTATGAATGCATAATCATCATTAGATTTCACATGATTCCCAACTGAAAGATCTAATCTGATTACCATAGTGACTGAAGTAAGACATTTCACTTGCTGGTTGTTGGCATCACCTTAACAACACAAATGCAGTTACCTAGTTTGTGCTTCTCATACAAATTCCAACAGAAACAGGTATTTCAGCTGACAGCAAGCTAATAAAACAGGCTGGGCACAGTGGCACACACCTGCAAACCCAGCACTGGGAAGGCTGAGGCAGGAGAACTGTGACTTTCAGGACAGCACGGGCTAGAAAGCGAGACACTCATAAAAACAAAAACAAATCATAATCCTAAAACAGTTTTAATTGTGGATGGCAGTGCAAAGGAGAAAAACATTCACGCTCGACAAGAAAAACCAACTGTAAGTGTAGTGAACATGGCAGAGACAAGGCTAACTGGCCTGGAAAGCAGCAAGTTGAACGTGAGGTTAAGGCCGGTTTCTGCAACTGGACCCCTAGAGATGTCCTCCCACTACCAGCCTGTGCAGACTTCAGCCACGTTTCATCACTGCTCTGTTTGGTAACTCAGAGGAAAGCTACACCAACCCAACTTTCTCAGAGACCCTGATGGAAGGACAAAGGAAACTTCAGTTCTGTGTCCTTGTCCTGGAGTGGACTTGGCAAGGCCAGCCTGATGCAAGAGCCAGTGCCTCAGGAGGCAAGGTTGCAGCTTCTTGGGACCCAACTCTTCCCCCAGTCCTAAGACAGCTGTGTCTGAGGTACCCTGTGCTCTCTTTGCCAACATCGTCTGACTTAGTTCTTTGCTGACGTTGCCCATATTTCACAGTATATAAAATGCTGTACTTCTTAGTAAACTTGTGTAGCATAAGACAAAATTTGTGCAGGCCTCACAAGCCCAGTTTTTATCTTCTCTGTTTCTCATGCCGTGGCACCACCCATCAGGACCCTGCCACTGAAGAACAACCTGCTGGTCCAGGTCACTTTCCTCTTAGGGATGTAGTGAGGACCTATCCATACTTTTTAATCATACTTTCAGAACATGCAGTAAGTGGCCCACAGTATTAGCTATTATTATCCAAAGATGCCCTAAGACACAAAAAGCTGATTCTAGTTCACACTTACGGTCTCAGTTTAAGATAAATTTAACTGGGCTGGAGAGATGGCTCAGCAGTTAAGAGCATTGCTTGCTCTTCCAAAGGTCCTGAGTTCAATTCCCAGCAACCACATGGTGGCTCATAGCCATCTATAATGAGGTCTGGTGCCCTCTTCTGGCCTGCAGGCACACACGCAGAAAGGATATTGTATACATAACAAACAAACAAACAAACAAACAAATAAATAAATACTTAAAAAAAAAGATATATTTAACTGTGGTTCAAGTTTTACCATCATAACCTCTTTAAAGCAGTTTGCTATCATAATCATTTTTAGGCATAGCTCAGTAGTATTAACCCCATTTGTACTATTATTATGCAATCTCCAAAGTGTTTCAATTTGTACACCCAAAGCCTATACACCTCCCCCCGCTCCCTGCCCCTGAGCCTCTGGCAGCCGCCATTCCACTTGTGTCTCTGGATCCCTCACAAAGTAGGCGCGCAGCACTTGTAGCCCGTGCACTTCACTGAGCACTGATGCACCTGACGGCAGAACTCCCCTCCCTTTCAGGGGAAAGTAACAGTCTACACTTTGTTGGTCTACTCATCAGTTAATGTTAATATGTTAACTGTTGAGGTGTTTCTGCATTTGTCTACTGTGAATAACGCTACTAGGAATGGGGGTGGTTTCAAGACACTGTTTTTAATTCTTTGGATGCACATATTCCAAAAGGAATGTCTGGAGAAGCCTCCATTTGGTGTTTCTTTCTTTATTAAGGATGTATTTATGTTTATGAGTACGAGTGTTTTGTCTGCATGCATGTATGTGCACCACATGTGTGCTTGGTGCTTGCACAGGTCAGAAGAAAGTGTCAGATACTTTGGAACTGGAGTTACAGTTGTTAGCCTCTGTGTCGGTGCTGGGACTCAGACCTGGGTCGTCTGCAAAAACAAGTCCTCTTAACTACTGCCATCTATCCAGGCCTTCCTACATGGCTTTCTATTGTAACCCTGTCACTGTATTCCCACTGCAGTACTTGTGGGGGTTCTTTTTTATTTGGTAGCTAATGCACTCGAGATGATCTTGTTCTCTAATTGTCTTCACATTCATACATTCACACAAAGATATTTATACACACATTTAATTGGCACCTGTTATTAGCCACTGATACCTCCTTCTCTTTATGTACATCATACACTATCATGTCCTAGCAAAAATCAATATGTGCAATTGTGTTTTGGTTACCCACCTAGATTATAAGATCCTTCTTTATGCCTACAACTGTTTAGTATTAAAACTGCACACACACACACACACACACACACACACACACACACACTCAAAAAGGAACGAATTATGTGTCCAATTCATGATCAATGACAATTTTGTTCCTGCTCTTTTTATGCCTTATTAATATAGAAAAGCAGGTCTAGACCAGGCATGGTGCATAGGTCTTTGAACCCCAGTACTTCGAAGGCTGAAGCAGGCAGATCTGTGAATTCAAGGCTGCCTCGTCTACAAGGCAAGTTCCAGGCCACTAAGGACTAGAGGAAAGAAAGAAAGAAAGGAAGGAAGGAAGGAAGGAAGGAAGGAAGGAAGGAAGGAAGGAAGGAAGGAAGGAAGGAAGGAAGGAAGGAAGGAAAAGAAGAGGAAGCAATGTAGCAAAGTGGGTAGCAATTTGAGCTGATCTGATACTGAGCTGAGTTCAGATCCCAGCTCGGCCCTTCATTAGCTGTAAACCTTTTTAAACACTGTAAGTGTCTGTCTCCGACTCCTTCTCTGTAGGAGGGATGGAACATGGATGTGAGATTAAGAGTGCACGTACAGCACTTAACCCAGCAAACACCAGGCCCTCAAGAGCCACTATCTCAATACCAGTCATTATTATGTTCATTATAAAGTCAATGAATACTGTAAGATATAAATGGCAAATAATTTCTCTAAGTATGTCGACCTATATAAGACACACGTTAGAAAATGCTGCCAGCACCTGTCTGGGCTTGAGCAGGTATGGTAGCGCACACTTGCAACCCCACTCACGAGTATGAGGCAGTAGAATGGTATGTTGTAGGCAAGTCTGGGCAACACAGTCAAGACTGTCTTAAAAAATCTTATCTTTACTTGGACCAATTCAATTGTGAAGTGAAAACTCAAAGATTCAAATGCTTTACTGTAAGATTCAAGAAGCACAGCATAGGTATTATCGATATAGTGTAAGTATTACAGCATTAACAACCTTGCTACATTCTATTAAAGTTTTGAGAGACCTGAGCTACATACTGAGAATAATAAACTCGTGGCTTTAATTTTCTAAGGAATTTGACATCTGATAAAGTAGAAGATAGGCAGGTTCCTTGATGCAGAGATTCTTTTGTTGAGATTTCAGGAAAAATTTCCACGTCCCAAAGGAGACAGAACACAGTGTCTCTGTCTTTTGTTTCTTGGAGACAGGTCACTGTAATTCCAGATTGGCCAGGAACTCACTATGTAGCCTGGGTTGGCCTTACACTCGCATCCATCCTTCTGCCTCAATCTCTGAAGTACTGGGACTACTATAATAACACATCAGAGCACCTCAAACACTGAAAATAAACTGTCACAAATGTACTTACAGTGACCAGCCTCCACCAAAATATAAAACAAGAAAATACAAACAATACCACTCCACTTATAAGGAGAGAAGATGCAAACTAATGTTCAGATTACCATAATATGCTGGGGTATAGGGAGCACAGCTCAGAGACAAAGCACATCCTTAGCATCTATCTACCAAGTCCTAGGTTCAACTCTGAGAGCACACACAAAAGAACCATAGATGACAGAGATGACTGAGCAGTTAAGAGTACTTGTTGTTCTTGCAGAGAACAAGTTCATATATCAGCACCCACATGGCAGTCAACAATCATCTGTAATCCCAGAGGATCCCAATGCCCTCTTTTGACCTCCCTGGGCATTAGGTGTGTGTATATATATGTGTGTATGTATGTGTATACACACACACACACACACACACACACATATGGTAAACACAAATACATGCAAGAAAAACACTCATACACATAAAAATAAATGAACAAATAACTCTTAAAAGGATGTTCAGGTAAAGAGAAAGCAGGCGGCTATTTTACTTGCTTATGGGTGGCAGACACATCGGCGTCCATCTTCATTCACTGCATTTGTAATTTTATATAAAGTTTCACAATAAATATGTCAAAAAGCTACTGAACACTTACAGAATTTTAAAATAAAGTATTTACTTGTTCAATTAAGGAGTTCCTTGCTTCAATAGTCTCCTTCAGCAATTCTGGATCACTTGTTTTCAAGAGGGGCTTTCTCTCAAAGTCTTTTCCATCACCAGAGTTGGAATTCCAGAGAAGTTTTTCTTTGTTTACTACATCCACCACTCCTTGGAAAGTTCTGGCTTCACCAATCGGCAGCTGTAAGTCAGGGCGTGCTTCATATTGTTAAAGGATAAGAATGCAGAACTCGCCGGTGACAAGACATCTTACCTGACTACAACCAAAACCTTCAGCTGTACTCACAGTTGGAGTTTGTTTCAAAGTGTGCATGCCACAATAAATTGATGAGGAAATACCAGAATGTTATATCAATTAACCAATTACCTGAAGAATCAGAGGCTTTGCCTTTAACTTCTCCCTGATGCTTTCGACGGCATAGTTAAAACTGTCAAAAGCAAGACCATCCATTAGAAACAGTAAAAACTTCTGGGTTAAGGAATGTTTTCTAAAATAACCCTTTAACTATAATGTTCACTATGTCAGTTTCCCACAGGGCAGTATCTTAAATAAACATGTTAATAGCAATTGAATATTTACCATTATCTCAACATGGGGAAGTTTAAGGAACTATTTTTGCAAACTTCACATAGCCAAATAGTGATACTAAGATTAAAGTTACACACACAGATAATTAATTGGAGTTAAAGATTTCATTTGAATTAAGTATTCTTTCTTCTGTATATAGCTATATAAAGTATTGATTTTCTTCCAAGAGCCAGACTGACTAATGTTGTGTGTTTTAATCTTAGGTTTTAGTATCATATGCTACAATGCTTGTTTCTATGCTAACATAGGGTGGCTACCTACAGTACATATGCTAGTTATACATACGTGCACATCACTCCGGCCCCAGCATCTCTGAGAACTAGCCTAGAACCCAGGCATTGCCCTCTTCATCATTACAGACACTTAAGTCAGCCAGTGAGTACTTCTATGGACTACAAGAGATTTCAAATAGGATTTAACTTTTTTTTTTATTTTATATGCATTGGTGTGAAGGTGTCAGATCCCCTGCAACTGGATCTTCAGACAGTTGTGAGCTGCCATGTGGGTGCTGGGAATTGAACCCGGGTCCTCTGGAAGAGCAGTCAGTGCTCTTAACCACTGAGCCATCTCTCCGAGATTTCAAATAGGAAAGGTTCAAAGTCTAGCAAATGTTTCAGGTTGCTGTGCCATTAGCAATCAAGGGTATTTTAAACAGAGTAGCCAAAGAAGTCACATAACCACAAAGCACATGGCTGTGGCCTTGGATAACTTTTATCACACTCTCATCGCTGACCGAGATGTCTTCCTACATTTCCTCCACAATCCTAAACATTTTTGATTCATTCTTGCTCACATTTCATCAGCTCCTTTGTATATTTTTGATTCTCTATGTTGTCAGTAAAATGTATCCATTCTGGCTTGCCACTCTAGATAAGCCTTGATGTATGGGCAATACATCTCAGCATCAACATCTTCTGCTTCCCATACAGGACGTTCTCCTTCCCAATTCTGTTTTGTTGAGCCTAATACCCACTAACTAAGGAAAATCAGAAGACATGGAAAGACCCCATTCTCTGAGGTAACTACAAGAAACAAACCTGCTTCTCTAACTCTAGCAATCAGGAGGTCACAGGAGCCTTCGGGAGCTGTAGGGCTCCACAGACAATGCACACAAACAGCAAGTCTGCACTCCTCCAGGATTCCACAGAATGTGCGACACAAATCTAAGCGGCTCAGCACTTAGCAGAGCTCAATCTCAACTACAATGAGCTGTTTGAAATTATTTTAAATTGGTCTTTAAGATTTTATAAAATAAACTTTATAAGTATATACTACATAGATAGATAGATAGATAGATAGATAGATAGATAGATAGATAGATAGATAGACAGATAGTTTAGTTTAGAATTATACTTTAGAGTTGCTTTTTCTAAACTTAAGCTATAAGCCATGACTTGTTAGTGCTTTGTAACCCTAACAGCCTAGAAGCACTCTTCACATACCTTGCTCCAGTTTTGTCCATCTTGTTTAAAAAACAGATCCGGGGTATATTATGTTTGTCAGCTTGCTTCCACACAGTCAGAGTCTGGGCCTAAAGCAAAAATTAGAGAAAACGCCTGTGGTTGTTGTGAGACATGGGGTGAACAGATCCACGAATCTGTGTGATGTGGAACTGGGCCTGATGACGGCAGAGAATCAGAACCCACAGTGCATTTCCAGGGGCCTCCTCACTCCCAGAGAACACAACAGGGAATAGATGAAGCGACTGGAAGATTCACACTGCTTAGGTGAACTAGGTTCCCACACAAAATGCGGGAGATACCTAGAGCTCTCAAAAGGGAACTTAACTGCAACCAGGTCTACTTCTTGTTTCACTTTTATTTTTCCCAGCATGAAATAATGAAGTAATTTGTTTTAATTATTATTTTTAAAATCAGGTCTCACAAAGCCTAGGCTGGCCTGGAACTCATTACACAGCAAGGCTGATCCTGAACTCCTGATCCTCCTGCATCCACTTCCCAAGCGCTGCGATGACAGGCAGGCGCCACCATATCTCCTAATGTCAGTTTTTGAGAGGTAAAAAGGACTTTGTCTTGAGGAATAAGAAAGAATAAAACCACTATCATCATAAAAATCACCTCTTTCAATGGAATATATGAATGTTCATGTGAACCAATAGGGTAAAGTGTGACAGACAGACTAGTATCAATATTTATAAGTAATTCATATATGCTTCTTATTTAATTGATTTCATTTCTGCACACACTCAATTTATAAATATAGTCTGAGTCTATTAAAATATTTGTATCTCAAAGAGTCATAAGGCCTGAGAAACATGAATAGTCTAATGCTCAGTTTTTTCTTTGTTTAGGTAAAATTTTATATGACAAAATCCACAGACTAAGCATATAGATGGAGTTTTGATAAGAAACAGACCTTGTAAGTACTACTCAAATCAATACATAGAACATGCTGTCACTCCAGGGAACTTTCTCATGCCTCTCCAGCCCTCTGTAAGAAACCAGGTCTGACACACTGCCACAGGTTAGAGTTTCATATAACTAGTATAGCTTCTGATTTGTTCACCTCTGCAGACAGATCAGCTTCTCTATCAGTCAGTGGGTATCTATTAGGTAGCTGCCAGCTTACAGCTGCTGTTGAGTCTAGCCACCACAAACATTCTGAACAAATCTCTGATGAATGTTTCCACTCCCTCGGAAAAAGAAACACAATTATTGGTTTATTTTTTTGTTTGGTTTGGTTTTTGATTTTTCGAGACAGGGTTTCTCTGTGTAGCCCTGGTTGTCCTGGAACTTGCTCTGTAGACCAGGCTGGCCTCAAACTCACAGGTATCTACCTGACTCTGCCTCGCCCATGCTGGGATTAAAGGTGTGCGCCACACTGCCCAGCTGAATTAAGGGTTTCAGCATAGGTGTATCTATAACTTTATAAGAAACTGTCCAACAGCCTTCTAGAGTCATCACATTGTTTTACTGTCCTGTCAGCAGCGAGAGCTCCAGCAGAACCACCCTCAGCAGTATGAAGATAATACTTCTTGCTCTTCTGAATCAGTCACTCTTCAGGACACAAAATGGTATCTTATGTTGGTGCCTCCTTCTCAAAAGCCCTGCACATGGACCAAGTACAAAGGTGGATATGGCTGGGTCACAACAGTAAGAGGGAGATATGGAGACAGCTGCATTTATTTCCAAATAATGATTTTCTCCTAAATAACCAATTATAATGATCACATTTAGAAAATTTCAAGCTCAACATATATTTTCAAGTAGTATATAATTCAAATTTCTGTTTACCTCAGTGATGTTTTCTAATTCATTTTAAATTTAGGATCCCACCAAGGATTTAAAATACATTCAGTTGTCATGATTATTTAAATTTTTAAATCTAAAATAGTTCTTCGTGATTCCCTTTTATCATTTATGATGCTTATATTAAAAGTTCTTGTTTTTAAATTACTGGAAACTTGTAAGCAGTTCTCCCTGCCACATCTTTTCACTTATCTCTCACTAATCACTGTCTCATGATAAGACATGGGACGTTTTGGGAGGACTACACATTGTTGTATCTTTCTCCAAGGATCACACTGCATCAATTTTGTACCATTTTTAAGATATTGATTTTTATAACTTAATTAAAATAATTTATGGGCAGAAGAACTTAAATGGATTATGTATTCAACAAGGCCAGTTTGAGCCCAGCTTCATCTACACAGCAAGTTCCATACCAGTCATGATACATGAGACCCCGTTTGAAACAAAGCAAAGCAAAACAAAACAAAAATAAAAACAGCATAATTCATCCTACTAGCAATAAGCTCTACTAAATATCCATTTTCAGAATTGACTCAAAGACTTCGATGCATACCTGTGTGTAGGGGGAGAGGGCAGGAATGCTGCACTTGAACCCAGGCACCCATACACGCTAGGCAAGATACTCCAGAAATGAGTTACAGCCCCTCCTAAGAATCTTTATCGTAACTGTGAGGAGATGATGATTCATGTGACTGCACTGCTACAAGTGCCGGCTCCCCTCTTTTAAGACTCGCTTCTACGGGCTGGAGAGATGGCTCAGCGGTTAAGAGCACTGCCTGCCCTTCCAAAGGTCCTGAGTTCAGTTCCCAGCAACACATGGAGGCTCACAACCATCTGTAATGAGATCTGGTGCCCTCTTCTGGCCGGCAGGCATACATGCAGACAGAATACGGAATACATAATAAATAAATAAATTAATTTAAAAAAAAAAGAAACTCTTCTATAGCAGTCTGTGATGTAGTGTCTCCCTTGGGAGGAAAAGGTGGGTTTGCTAACTGCCCTAGAGAATACAGTGTCAGCCCTCCAGAGCAACATGGAGGAATGTTAACTGCACACTGTAAAATACTTCCATCCATGCCACTCTCTAGACTAGGACTTGGGGATTGATGACTCAGGTAGTAACTACATATAGACTAATAAAGTCAACAGAATCTCAGGCTCCTCACAGTTCCCAATATCAACCATCATATTTTCTAAAAAACAAACAAACCCTTTCCTTCCATTGTGAAAAATCTGAGATTACATTTTATTATTCAATTCCAAGCCGGGCGGGTGGTGGCGCATGCCTTTAATCCCAGCACTCGGGAGGCAGAGGCAGGAGGATCTCTGTGAGTTCAAGGCCAGCCTGGTCTACAAGAGCTAGTTCCAGGACAGGAACCAAAAACCTACGGAGAAACCCTATCTCGAAAATAAATAAATAAATAAATAATTCCAACTTCCTTTAAACATAACCTGATTTATACGGATTTACCAAATAAAGGGATATAATTAACTAATCCTGATACATTCTACATTTTAAAGAAATCACACTGTTGTTCTATCTTCACTTTGGCAATATTTTACCTCTACACCCGCAGAGGCATCAAACACGGCCACTGCACCGTCCAACACTCTCAGGCAGCGTTCAACCTCCAAGGTAAAGTCCACGTGACCTAAGATAAGAATAATAAGTACTGAAAATCTTCAACACAGAACAGTCACATGGGTCAGCAAAGTCCCTCGTGCCCACAAAAGATGGTGAACCCTTGATAGAAGTGTCCCCCTACGATCATAGTGAACAAATATGGTGGTGTAGGCAGTCGCCTCCCCACACCCACAGGCCCTGAATCTGGAGATGAGAAGATTTAGAAAAAAAGGTGTCTATTCTAAACATGGACAGACTGTTTCTCATGTCACTGTTCTTTAAATAATATCGAATAATAACTATTTACATAGCAGTCACTTAGATTTGATGCTGTAAGCATACAAGAGGATGTATATGGTTTATGGAAATATTACACCATTCTACAAGTGATTTAAGCATCTAAAAGTTTTAGCTCTACAAGGAATCCTAAAATCAATTCCTCATGTACAGTGAGAGACAAGTATACACACGGAATATTATACAGCCTTAAAGGGACAGAATTCATGCTACACAAAGACTTAACACTAATTGAAGTAAACCAATCACAAAAGGATAAATACAGTGTGACTCCACCTACAGCTGTCTAGAGCAGTCATGTGACCAGGGGCAGAAAGCAGAACGGTAGGGAGAGGGGCAAGAAAAGCAATTGTTTACTAAGTACAGAGTTTCAGCTCTAGAAGATGAAATGCTCTGAGATCTGTTTCACAGTGACTTAAATATGATAAATATGATGGAGCTAAGATAAGAAATTTAATGTTTTCACCATGATTTAAAAAACAAAACCAAAAACCAAAGAAACAGCCTGAGAGACATGGAGTCTCTGCATGGTGAGCCTGCACCATACCTGGAGTGTCAATCAAATTGACTCTGTACCCTTTCCAGTCAAATGTCACAGCTGCTGACTGGATGGTAATGCCTCTCTCTCGCTCTTGAGCCATGAAATCCGTCACTGTGTCTCCATCATCGACATCTAATCGGGAAAAACAGACCATGGTTTAGTTCAAAACAAGGGCATCCTACTTGTTCTCAATAACTTACTTCCCTGGGACAGCGTAATCTACTCTGAGAATAAAAGCTCCCCAAAATATTCAGTGTAATACCTAGAGCCCTTTATTTTCTCTATATAAAATCCTCATAAAAAGAAAAGGCCTTTTCAGAATGATTTCTTGGAAGTTTCTTTTTTAAAAAAATTCTATTAACCACACGCTCATTCCCTTGAATTCTAGCTTGATGTTTCTTATTCCCTCTGTGTCCCACACCCCTGGCTAGGGGATAGAGCAGCTCAAAGTCCACCAATTAAACTCCCTCCTAACTTTATTCCTACTCCTACATCCTGATTATCTGGTCTGCACAGTAAAGCTAATGTAACAGAATTGCCCTTACCCAGGTGTCACAAGAACAAAATGAGGCAGGATTTGAGACCTAGTGCAGCTTGATAATGCCCTGGAGCAGCCACATTGCGTGAGGACTAGAAACATTCTTCCCAGGTCAACTACCCTTTACCAGGGCTCTCACTGCTCAGTGTTCCAGAGCAAGGATTTGTCTGCAAATAAGGCCTGAGGAAAAGTTCTCAGTATAAACCCAGGCGTGAACTTAATCCTAAGAGCTCACTCAGATAAATTAAAACTTTTATTCTGATTAAATTTATAGGCAATAATACATGAAAGTTATTTTTACCATTCAAAATTCAGGAATGTAAGATATCACACCAATATACTACCACTTACATCAACAGAAGACCCCCTAAAATGGCATCTAACTTCCCTTTATATACACACACACAATTTAAATACCAATATCAAGGAAAATAAAGAAATGTATTGGCAAGAAGTCTAGCCAGGCTGCGTAGCCCTGATTGGCCTGGAATTCACTATGTAATACAGGCTAGTTCTGAATTCACAGAGACGTGCCTGCCTCTGCTTCCCTAGTGCAGGGATTAAAAATGTGTACCACCACATCTGGCTCATGTTATTATGTGTTGGATCTGGCCCGACTGGTCCGTACATTCCCGAGAAGTGGAGTGTGGACTGAGAAAAGAAATAGACAAGGGACGGAAGATAGAGTCGGGAGGGCGTCCAGTGAATACTGGAGAAAAAAGTCAAGTTTATTTCTCACCATCCTATACCCAATCAAAAGGGGAGGGCACAAACAAGACTTCCATGATACAAAGAACAAGTATAGTTACCTCCTTACATCTCAAAACACCCAGTGACCAAGCCCTAAGTCAAACATCCCGTCTGGCTTTTGAAGAGCAAAGCATCCAGTAGCTATACCTTTGGTCAAACATCCTGTTGTTATCCTTGAGGAGCAAGAATCGGTTTGAACTCTCTGACCTTTAGCCAAGATGGAATGGATTCAAAATTGTGGGCCCCCACAATAATGACTATTATTCTAATCAACAAAGCAAACTCTGGTCACCAGAGCTGTGTACTTTAGTTTCTAGGCCTACAGAAATCTAAAATCAGTTCTTGATGCTTCAAATTTTGAAGTATTTCCAGTTTCTAGTTTTAGATTTTCCAGAATAGAAATTACCAATTAGTGAAGTTCATGTAAACATTCTTAACTAAAAATTATAACTGAAATATTTCTGATATCTCAATCATATGGATAAAGGATACTTAAACTATATTGACTGTAAATACACTTGAAACGGGTTAAAACTTCCTATAATTTTAAAAAATTGAAACTTAGAAACTATACACTCACTTCAGGTATCCTAACTGGGGGCATGAGGGAAGGATTATCATCTGACTTATGAAGCAAGAGAAGCCTGACACTGCCCCACATCCTGCCGTCGGTCAGATACTCATTCACATAGTGAAAAACCTAGGTAGCCCTATGTTTAAGAATCTACCACTGCAACATCTGCACTAAGGGACAGTACACGAGCTGGGAACTAAGCCGGAGACTTAAAAACACAAGCACATAGACAGACAGAGACGTGGGAACACAGGTCATCCTTGGTCAAGAATGCCCACTTTATTGTGCTCAGAGGCAGCTCATATAGGGCTCTGGCCACGCCCCAGCTCCCGGGATCTTTCAGCTGCTGCCTCATCAGAACCCACTCCCCTGCCATCAGGGTTTTGTGCTCAGAGCACCAACATACCATCACGAAGACGCTAATCTAAATGTTCTTTTCCTCTCTTAAGCATCTAGTCTTGTATGTTTCCAAATGTCTAGGAAAATGGCTCCCAAGAGGAACATATAAACTAGACCTCCTGAACCCACCATGGGACTCAGCCAGCACTACTTAGAACCAGTAACCCCTGATCTACGCTCATGCAAGTTCACCATTTTAAATTCAGTGACACACACACACTCTCACTTTCACTCTCTCACACACATTCAGACACTCATACAGATCTACTCACACATACAGACATGAAAATGAAAAATGGACCAGTTGGGAAGAAGGGGGTCAGCAGGAGAGTGTGGGGGACAATAGAAGGTAATGATGGCTGAAAACACATTATATACACATACAAAATTGTCAAAAATAAATAAATAAAGAATACACAGAAAAATTGGTGCAAATAAAAGCAAAAAGCTGCTCTGGGGAATAAGTACAGGCCAACTGAGAATTAACTACAATCTGCAAAAGCTACAATTGAGCAGTAAACTGCAGACTCAGAAAATACAACTAAGGATTAACAAAATCGTCTCCTTTTCCATAGAGAATTTGACCTTAACTTTCCAGATTTTTTTCTTCTAAATAAATCAGACAATAGAAGTATGTCAACTATGTGGCTAGTAAGTCAACAACAGAATTATTTCAACATACACACACACACACACACACCAAAATAAAATCTACCTCTTTAAAGAATTACAGTTTGTAGTTACATACCTTGGGCTTCCCTGAGTATGGTATGGAATGTCCCTTATATGAACCCTGGAAAGTAACTGCTTTCTCCACTAGGGTGCTCTTGCAAAAAGAAACATCTAACGCTAAATGTGGTTCTGTCCTACAAACTTCCAGTAGGCCAATGACAGGCTTGGGGGTGCTCAATGCTTAGCTAAATCTCAGAAGACCCTCTTCTGGTGGTGTTGCCAGCTACCTTATCTTAATGTTGTTGTTTAGACATCAGAGACTCCATGCCATACTCTAGCTGACTTCTTTTGCTAGTGGGGGTTGGGAAGAGGAGGAATCCATTCTAACCTCCCAATGATCTTGTGTATCCAGAATAGTAAATAATTCGTTCTGTGGTAGTAGTTTTGCCTGCATCAATATGAGCCATAATTCCAATATTACGGATTCTGTTTAAAAGGGGAAAAAAGTCATGCATTATGAGGCACATATTACAATCAAAATATCTATGCTGTGAGAATCTACAGGTGATTAGTATTCCTATAGTACATGTAATTATGTACAAAGACAAATGCAAAGCATATTTGGGTTTTATTTTCAGCATATACTAAGTATACATAGTGATAGACTATACTCTGACGTTCTCATATACTAAGTATACGTAGTGATAGACAATACTATGACGTTCTCATATACTAAGTATATGTAGTGATAGACTATACTCTGACGTTCTCATATACTAAGTATACATAGTGATAGACTATACTATGATGTTCTCATATACTAAGTATATGTAGTGATAAACTATACTATGACGTTCTCATATACTAAGTATACATAGTGATAGACTATACAATGACGTTCTCATATACACATGTAATGTACTTTGTACATATACTAAGTATACACAGTAATAGACTATACCATGACATTCTCATATATGTATATTAAGTATACACAGTAATAGACTATATTGTGACATTCTCATATATGCATGTGATGTACTTTGGTCGTATTCACCCCCACACCACCCTCTCTTGTACCCACCTATTGCGGTCGATGTATCCTACCACATTATCAGACAAGAGAGCTAAGTAAAAAAGGGCTGATTACAATATTGACTTGTTTATATTCATTTGTTACATTAAAAAATCTTAATACTTAACTGAGAAAAAGTATCTTTTGAGATACATACTAACATTTACAATAGAAATTGCATACGTTACTAGGAAAGCCTGCGGATGAAGACCTGTCAACTTCCCAACAGCCTACTGGGAACAAGTGTAATGATAGTACTTACTTCTCTATCGGAGGGCTAATGATGGAGTGAAGGGATTTGACATCATTTCCTATTACACCTAACAGGAAGAGAATTGAAATTAAACTATTAGATTAATATAAATTTTTCTTTAATTTATAAATGAAAACATACAAAATAATTTAAAACAAATACAACCTTCCAAATCAAGCTAAATAAAATGCAGTTATTTAAGATTTATTTTCTACCAACATAGGAAAGTTATGATTAATAGCAGGATTTCTTTTTTCAGTCCACACCTGTGAACATCAATCTCTAAATGAAACCCTTAAAAATACAGATCTATTTCAGTCAGTTACTTGTTACACCTCTATTTACAGAACTGTAGAACCAGTGTTCATAACAACAACACAGAAGGTAACAGAAGGTCCTATAGAAAAGGGAAAGGTAAATGTGCAGTCACGGAAGCCTGCATTTCCAAGTCTTTTTTTTTTTTTTTTTTTTTTGGATTTTCAAGAAAGGGTTTTTATATTGATTTTTTTTTTTTTTTTTTTTTTTGGTTCCTGTCCTGGAACTAGCTCTTCTAGACCAGGCTAGCCTCGAACTCCCAGAGATCTGCCTGCCTCTGCCTCCCGAGTGCTGGGATTAAAGGGGTGCGCCACCACCGCCCGGCACATTTCCAAGTCTTGAAGCATTCTGAGTAACCAAGTGATTGTGAGCTGCCATGCAGGTTAGACCCTCCCTTCCCTCAGCTATGCCAGACCCAGGGCCTTTAGAGACAGATGCCTGTGTGCAATCAGTCAGCAGCAGCTGAAAGATACAAATTCTAAATAGCTAAGTAGTGTTTCTTTTTTTATTTTACTTATTTTATTTAGTATTTTCTTTACTTGGCTTGTTTTTGAGGCAGTGTCTCACTCTGAAGTCTTGGTTAGCCTTCTATGTATATCAGGCTGGCCTCAAACTCACCGAAATCCTCCTGCCTCTGAATTCTGGGGTTAAAGGTGTGTACCACTACACCCAGCTTTTATTTAAGGTTTGAGGCAGAGGCTTATATGTAATGTAGTCCTGCTGAGAGTTAAGACTCTCAGGCCTTCTGCCTCAGCCTTGCTAATACTAGAATTTCAATATGAGCCCCCCCCACATCCTCACAGTATTTGTTACAGAAAAATGTTCACAAAGATCACTTCACGTGAGCCTAAGTTTCAGTAATCATACTGAAGCTACAGCAATTTTACTTGTGAATTTAATTTCCATTTTCATGCTCTTTAAACAAAGTCTTCTAAATTTCTAAAATAAAAAGTTTTAGATTTTCAAAAGTCCATTGGGCAATCAAAAGACTCAAAGATAAAGTACATGCCGCAGTTAAACCAGCAGGGGCGAAACACCAAAGCCTGTGTACAGACTGGCAATGCAGCCGGGAAACGCATGCATCCTCGCAGACCAGCAGCCAAGCAGGACTATGGCCCTCCATCACTGCACACGATGAACATGCTAATTAGAACAGCAGAAAAATTAAGCTATTTCCAACCAGGACTGTATGCTTGCTCCTTCAAACACAGAAAGGCATGAGCAACGAGGTGCTCAGCTCCCGGGTATTCCGGGCCCTACTAGTCAGGCCTCCATTTAAACTATTCCAGATAAATATGTACCCAACTTCTTCTAAAACTCCTCAAAATAAATTATTTTATTAAAATCTCTTGACATAAAGCATGTTCTCGTAAAACTTAGCAATGAACCACAGTGTATCTCCCAGGAGGGTACTCCACCAGCAGACTCACTCACTAAGTGAGCAGCCAGCTTCCAAACTCGCCCCTCCCTTGGGTCAGCTCATCAGAGGCCCACCCAGCAGAGGGGGAGCGATGACTCCACGAAGACCAATCTCCCTCACGTCTACCAAAACACTCTCACCTAATAATCTCAAGGAAATAGCCAAAAGTTAAAATAGGTTGGAAACCTCTAAAAAGCAAGGTTACAAAACAGAAAGTGAGAGACTGCGCACAAGAGGAGAAAGCGAGCATTTCCGGTAGAACTAACATCTGTACCTGCTGGGGAGCTGTAGTTTCTTCGAAGAGGCACCCGAGTCTTTGATCTTTTTAAAATTGCCTTTATTTTACAGTAGCACATGGTCTAGAATGGAGAAAAAGAAATTGATAGTAACTTTATTTGATCATTTACAACAAACATGGAATCCAGGAAACACATCTTCTGTGGGTGCAGTGCCGCATCCTGTCATCCCAGCAATCAGGAGGCTGAGGGGAGACCCTGAGCTTGAGGGCAGCATCCATCACATAACAACAATCTCTCTATATCCTTGTCCAAGAGGAAGATATATTACGCAGAATACCACTCGAGTAATTTTAAACTAGCAAAAGAAATGGGCAGCCTCAGGACACGGCATGCAGCATCTGGGTTTCACCAAGGCTCCCTGCTAGATCACTGCTGGAGGAGGAGCAGCCCAGACAAGCACAGTCTCAGTAGGTGAGTGGCAGAGGGCATAGTACTGCTTGACGATTCATATTTCTAATATTTAATGAAAATGTGAGTTTTCAAAATAACACATGGAGGGCTGGAGAGATGGCTCAGTGGTTAAGAGCATTGCCTGCTCTTCCAAAGGTCCTGAGTTCAATTCCCGGCAACCACATGGTGGCTCACAACCATCTGGAATGAGGTCTGGTGCCCTCTTCTGGCCTGCAGACATACACACAGACAGAATATTGTATACATAATAAATAAATAAATATTTAAAAAAAAATAACACATGGAGCTCTACTGTTAGAATAAAGCTTACAGGAAGACACTGCTCATGAAACATGAGGCAGGTGTCAAAAATACCTCAGAAATTGGTTTCCAACAGCTCTGCAATTTTACCTTAACTATTTAATAATAATGTCGTATCTTGATATGATGTGACAGAACTTTACTTCACAGATGTTTCAACTTACAGATATTTGAATACATGCAGCACATTCTTAGTTAGCAGTGTAAGGGTGAGCAAGCAGTACTGCCATTCCTGGAAGAGACAGAGAACATCAGCCTTCCTCTCTTTTACCTCGTGAGAATGGCATTCTGTCTGCTGCTCGCTCTTTTTACTGCTAAGGAAATTTTTAAACTGCATTTCCAATTAAATTAAGGTAGTTTGACGAAGCTAAATTTAGAATAAGTAATACTAAGCCTCTGGGAAAAAAACAATTGGGCTACTAAAGTACAACGCTTTTGTAAGAAACACTTACATTAAGAGGTACACTGAATACTTTCCGATTACTCACTGCAAACATCCTCTAGCTGGTAAATACTGTGACCCTCTAATATCTTATCCTGAAAAAAGAAACAAACACAATTATAAACTAAATATACGCATTAAATCATAAGGCATATATAAGAAATAGGAGTGTATATTTTAAAAAATAGGAATAACTCTGGCTACCAAAAACTCAATGCATCATTTAAAAAGTCGGCAGCACATATACTAAAATTGGAACGATACAGAGAAGATTAGCATGGCCCCTGCGCAAGGATGACACGCAAATTCGTGAAGCGTTCCATAAAAAAAAAAAAAAATAAAACTTTGTACGAAATGAAATACACAGTTCTTAAGCTTAAATTGTCCTCCTTTTAAAAAAGACACCTTAATTCTTAAATGAAGGTATAAAAAGCTGAGAGTTTGGTGGATATCTGTAATCCCAGCTCTAAGGAAGCAGAGGGAGGAGGGTTGCCAAATTTGAGGCCACCTGGGCTACATAGTAAGATCCTATCTCAAAGAAAAAAAAAGGCAAACAAAGATATAACTGGCAGGGCGGTGGTGGCGCACGCCTTTAACCCCAGCACTCAGGAGGCAGAGGCAGGCGGGAGGCCAGCCTGGTCTACAAGAGCTAGTTCCAGGACAGGAACCAAAAGCTACAGAGAAACCCTGTCAAAAAAAAAAAAAAAAAAAAAAAAGAAAGCTATAATTGAAGCACAACTATTAAATTTTTAAAAATTAAAAATAAAAATATATTTTAAACATACAGAATAAACTATGATAAATAATCTCATGCAAACTTGGTAGTTTCTCATTGGCAACAAAAATCTATCTACATATTCTAATTTTTAATCATAAACATGAAAATAAAACAAAGACATAGTGAAGTCAGCCATCTTCATGTGATTGCAGAAGCAGAGCACCTTGGCTTGTACTCACTAACCCTGAGGGCGCCCCAGGTGGAGCACTTGCTAGTGTGCCCAGGGTCCCGGATTTGACCTAAACCCACATTTCCAAGTCTTCAAAACACCAACAGTGTGACAAGAAGACAGAGGACCTAACACCCTAGCACCTGGGGAGACGATGAGAAATCAGTTATACAGGAAGTCATGCTCAGCTTGTCTTCCTGCTAAAATGTTCCCTATTAGCTTTAGCCCTTAATATTACTTTTTCTTTTCCTCTTCATGCTGAATGGAAGATCTAGAGCTATCAATCTTATTTTCACTACAAAACTTATTTCAGGCACAAGTAATTTTATAAGATTTAAAACTTATTTTTATTTCTGTGTCCCTGTGAATGCATGCCATGTATGTAAAGGTGCCTGCAATGACAGCCGGAAAAAGAACAGCAATTCCTAGATTCAGGTTAAGGTAATTTTTTGATCTAGAAGCTGATTAAAGAAAAAGCTGATTAAATAGGGCCTGAAAACCCATTGAGACATACATCTATAGTATATCTATTTTCTGGATGTATGTCCCACTTCAATAAACTCTTAAAAAAAAAAAAAAAGCCGGGAGGTGGTGGCACACGCCTTTAATCCCAGCATCAGGAGGTAGAGGCAGGCGGATCTCTGTGAGTTTGATGACACGCTGGTCTACAGTGAGTTTCAGGACAGGCTCCAAAACTACACAGAAAAACCCTGTCTCAAACAACCAAAACCAAAAACAACTTGCTGGAGTCTCAGGTCTTCTTAGATAAACCACTAGAAATCTCTGCATTTTGATCTTTCATCTACGGCATCACAGAAACAGCATGAAAACTAACTCCACACATTCAGTAAGAATTGTGTTTAGCACTGTTTTCTAGGTGAAGACCATTCTTGCACTCACATTGACTCTAGGCAACTCAAACAAAACAAAATACTATGGAGACAAAAACCTGAATCAAAGCACTAAGACTTCTTGGGATGAATACTTTCTAATATTGGTAGTTCCAAACTTAAGCGTTTACTAGGATTTTTGTTGTTGGTTGTTTTGTTTTTGTTTTTGTTTTAACTACTAGGGGTTGATGACATGGCTCAGCTGTTAAAAGCCTTGGCTGTCCTTCCCGAGAACCCACGTTCAATTCCCAGCATCCACTAGTACGCCAAATTATCTTTTGTGATCCAACACCTTCTTGTGGACCCCGAGGACTCCGGGCACGCTCGTGGTGCACAGACATACATGTATGCAAAACACCCATACACATTAAGTAAAATAAAATCACAAAACACACTTTTTAAAAGGTAAAACTGACCCTAATTGCATGTGCTTTCTTGGGAATTCCTTCCCGGCAATAGAGAGCCAGTTCATCCAGGTTCGCTCAGTCCTAGTTCCCGAATTGCAATAACCGGCCTCAAGAACTTAGGAAATTAAGTCCTGAACCTCCACAAAAACAAAATGATCTCTTGCTTTCCTGGCAGTTGGCCCAGTAGTTTTATTTTCTACACAATAAATTTCAATTACTTGTGCACATACTAGTGGCAAGAGAAAAACAAAACAATCAGTCGCCCTTGTTAAAGGTTGAAGAAAAAGGTCCTTAATTCAGCAGGCATCAAAGGGCTGGGCTTCTGGAGCTCGCTGTCAGCCGCAGCCACAAGGTCAGCAGTCCCCAGCACAAGACCGGTGGCCGCTGCACAGTGTGGCACTCACAAAGCACTGTGCACCAACGACTAGCTTCTCTCGGCCAGACTGAGGGGAGCAAGGGGCGCCCGCCACTCCAAAATTGGTAACGGGCTCACGTTACAACTCCCCACTGCCTAAACAAGCCTCATACCTGCAGAAGGAACGTACAGACCCGCCGGCTCGCGGGCCTCAGGGGGCAGACCTTCCCACTTCCGGGCGGTGCGTCAGCTAAATAGCGCCTGCTAGCAACTTCCGCTCTGCTGCCTAGGAAGCGGAGAGCTGACTCGGAACGACTGTGTGGCGCTCACGCTTCACTCGGCCTTCTTAAAGTGTTGCCCTTTCCTGTTCCGCCTTGCAAGGCGAGTGCTCGTGGGTCTTTGAGAGCCAGAAGAGGGTTTTCGCAGTCGGGAGGTCGCGGACGGCTGTTCCGCAGCTGTCATCATGGTAAGGAGGCCGCCTCGGGCACTGGCGGCGGAGGGCTTGGGGGTTAGCGTGCTCGGACTGTCGCGGGAGGGAGGACGGTGGCGGGCGGAACTGAGACGCTGTGGAGTTGGATGTAGACTCCGGGAACTTAGCTGCAGGACGGGGAACACAAGTGAGACTGTTCACTACTAAAGACCTAGCGTGGCGTCAGTGTCAGCCGGATGGAACAGAGTTGAGGCTTGTGACAATAACCCTGTATAGTAAGCACTAATTGACATCCCACCATTTTACTGCTCAGTAAGTAAACCTATAGTCTTTGCAAGAAGCCAAACAGCGAATACATTGCGGAACCAAACCTGTCTGTCCAGACTGCCTGCCCTTTTCTTTCTACTGGATGTTTCTCGACAAAATGGAATGCCTTATAACTTTCTTTAGTTGCTCCAGAGTTCATGTGATAGCAGTTAAAAATACCATCCGTAATAGTTTTGTTACTTAGCGTTGCTGCAGAGTTCATGTGATAGCAGTTAAAAACACCATCCGTAATAGTTTTGTTACTTAGCGTTGCTGCAGAGTTCATGTGATAGCAGTTAAAAACACCATCCGTAATAGTTTTGTTACTTAGCATTATTCTCTAAACTGGACTTGACCTTGCATTATTGTCATTTTTTGTGGGCTCAACATGTAAATAAATGCTGATCACAGTTTCATTGTTAAATCGATAAAAAATGAAACTATTTAGGATGCAAAGGGATCCCATACAGTACTGACAATGAGCAAAATGATACACCCACTTCGGAAGACAATTAATGGCAGTGGACAATTTCCATACAGAGATCTGAATTCAACTGTAATATTGAAACTTTACTGCTAACTCCCAAAGGGAAAAAAGTCCAAATAACCATCATCTGGGCAGTGGACAAATGAGTTTATGTTTTCACACCAGGACACTACCCATCATTATAAAATAGTTAAACACTGATATGCACAAGGATAAATCCAGTTGAAAGAAGCCAGATGCAAAAGGGTATATTTTCTGTAGATCTCATTCACTGGGGAAAAAAGTAAACATAGAAATATAAGGTTGTGCCTGGTGGTGGTGTGGTGCACACCTTTAATCCTAGCACTAGGGAGGCAGAGGCAGGCAGATCTCTGAGTTCCGGGACAGCCAGAGCTACACGGAGAACCATCAACAAAAAACAAAAGGAAAAGAAAAAAAACACATAGGGTTGAAGATGGCGATGTGTTGGGGGGATGACTTGAGTAGCACAAGGAATGTTTTGGGGTGATGGAAAATAAATACGCCATCTTGATTTTAATGGTTACAGAAATATATTATAGGTCAGAAATTACAACTCAAACCTATGGCTAAAAATGGCAAATTTTGTTTTATGTAAATTGTTTTTTTTGGTAAAACTGACAAAGTTTCTAATAAAAAACAAAAAAAACTGAAAATAATTTACCTTATTGTCCGAAGGCAAAAAATAATGAAATCCTGTAGTTACCTCATCTCTTTAGTAGATAAATCCCTTCATTGAACAGGAGCTTTTCCTGGGATTCATGCCGGTGTGAACACATGAATGATGTCCTAGGTAAAGGTATATTTAATTTACATCCTATGAATGGTGATAGTACTAGAGTCATTAAGCTTTGGGTAGTGTGGGAACCTTACCTAAATAATCCTTTCAGTACTTACAAGAATTAAAGTAACGTTTCTTGAATCATTTCAGCCACAAAATGAGCATATTGAATTACACCGTAAACGCTATGGATATCGTTTGGATTACCATGAGAAAAAGAGAAAGAAAGAAAGTCGGGAGGCCCATGAACGTTCAAAGAAGGCAAAGAAAATGATTGGCCTGAAGGCTAAGCTCTACCATAAGCAGCGCCATGCTGAGAAAATACAAATGAAAAAGACGTAAGTGGTCCTGTCTAACTCTCGGGATCGGGAACACCCATTGGGTGATCATTGCCAAACACATTCCAAATCTCTTTCCTTTCTGATAGTATTAAGATGCACGAAAAGAGAAACACCAAGCAAAAGAATGATGAAAAGACTCCACAAGGAGCAGTACCTGCCTACCTGCTGGACAGAGAGGGGCAATCTAGAGCAAAAGTGCTTTCCAACATGATTAAGCAGAAACGAAAAGAGAAGGCGGTAAGCGATGAAAAAATTAATCTTGTCTTGCTTGACAGAAATATTTATATTAAAATTTGAGGTTCTAGGTTTATCTCCAGTTTAATTTGGAACATTAAGTGCAACTCTAGTTCCGTTTTTATATCAAAGTCCTAAAATGTTTCATAAATTTATTTTGATGATTTAAGATTTGATTATTTTTATTTTACATGTATGTTTGCCCATGTGTGTGCATTTCTGACACTGCATGATGCCGACAAAGGCCAGAACTGGAATTACTGTTGTGAGCTGCTATGTGGGTGCTGAGAACTGAATCCAGGTACTCTGAAAAGCGGCATTTGAAGGGCTCCTGGCTGCTAAGCCAGCTCTCAAGCCACAATTTTATAAATTTAGTTTGATAGAAACTTCTGTCTTATCACCAAGATTGAAATATCCCCGTTGAAAACATTTCGAATTTAAGTTTTAACAAAATGTATCACTGGGAGCTGTGGAGTAGCTCATTTGATAAAAGTTTGCCTAGTTTGTCTGTAATCCCAGCACTTGGGAGGGGGCGGGGCGGGGGGGGGGCAGGAGGATCAGAAGTTCAAGGTCATCCTTTGCAAAATAGCAAGTTTGAAACCAATTTCATCTACCTGAGATCCTGCAAGCCATTAGAATGTCATATCATACATTTGGCACCATGTTTTCACACCAGGACACTACCCATCATTATAAAATAGTTAAACACTGATATGCACAAGGATATATTCCAGTTGAAAGAAGCCAGATGCAAAAGGGTATATTTTCTGTAGATCTCATTCACTGGGAAAAAAGTAAACATAGAAATATAAGGTTGTGCCTGGTGGTGGTGTAGTGCACACCTTTAATCCTAGCACTATGGAGGCAGAGGCAGGCAGATCTCTGAGTTCCGGGACAGCCAGAGCTACACGGAGAACCATGAATAAAAAGTAGTGGTACATGCCACCACTCAGGAGGCAGAGGCAGGTAGATCTCTGAGTTCAAGGCCAGCCTGGTCTACATAGCTAGTTCCAGGACAGGCTCCAAAGCTACACAGAGAAACCCTGTCTTGAAAAACCACAAAAAGAGAATGTCATACATCTTTCATTTAAAAACTAATTAAAAACTAAGTAATGAACCTTAAGAATTCAGTAGATAATGACTTCCTACAATTGAAAATCCCTGATGCTGTTGTACTGTGGAGAAAAACACAACTTCCTTGTTTTTCCTGCCTTGCAGTGCCAAAATTGGTTCTAGTGGAAAATTTCCAAAGGGACTTAACTTAGATAAAAATTCAACAATTCTTTTAGTACACCCTTTACAATTACTGTCAAACTAGCTAAAATTCTGTCCCAATTTGAAAAAGCAAATTTTTAAGCACCTGTGAATAGAATAAGAAACCTAATAGGAAAATACACAGTATTGAAGTATTTTTTTTATCATGAAATATTTTTTTTTCAATTTGTAAATATCCCAAATTAGAATGTTATGACGAGTAGCGGTTATCTACTCAATGAATAAACTGAACTAGTCTAACTGCAGTTGAACTAGAGTTCAAGGGATTGTAAGTCTTACTTGGCTGCCAGGTCCTTGTGAAATGCTGGAGTTGCTCCGAGAACCCATGTCTTAGGACTATTAGTCCAGTATTCTTTTCAGTGCCTAGTATTGCTATGCCGTGAGAGGCTTTGTTTTGAGTGTCTGTGTATTCTGGAGCAGTTGAGAACACCTGACAACCTGATGATCAGTCTCAAAGTCCACTTCAGGGTAAACTAACGAAGAAACTAAGTGGGATGGTGAGCTTGTAACTAGTAACTAGGACATGCACTGCTGAAGCGTCATTGCCTTAGAGGAACATAACAAGGTATGAAGAAATCTTAGCTTAACCAAACCATTTATTTAATGTACAGAATATATGAACTTAACTGATTTTTCTTAATTATGGCTTCTGAAGAAACAGCACAGACTTCCCCAAAACAGTTGAACAACAAGTGAAGTGTGCTGAATGGTTTAGAAGAGAGTGTTCTACTCTAACTAAATCACATGACTCATCCTTACTCTCTTTTTATTACAATACAAACCTGCACTTCTAGGGAAAATGGGAAGTCCCTCTACCCAAAGTTCGTGCCCAAGGAGAAACAGAAGTATTGAAAGTAATTCGAACAGGAAAAAGAAAAAAGAAGGCATGGAAGAGGATGGTTACTAAAGTCTGCTTTGTTGGTGATGGTTTTACAAGAAAACCACCTAAATATGAAAGGTTTATCAGGCCGATGGTAAGTTTCTGTGGGAGTATGATGACTTAATACTTAGCCTCTTGTTAAATATTCTTGGATAAAGAATATTACAGTTTCCTGAAATTGCTAAAATTGATGTGAAAAACAGCTTGGAGAGCATTTTGTGCTATTTTTGTTACATCATTAATGGAAATTTACTTTGTATTTCCATGAATCTAGGCTGAGTCTTAACTTCAGATTCATAATAGATTTGAGATGAAAGAATTTTTATAACATTGCTAGTGAATTCTTATATTTAAGCATTATACACTAGACTCTTCAACCCATTAGACAGTTTGAGTAAGAATGTTTGCTTACATTTGATCAAAAGACAAAAAAAAAAAGCACTGGACTTAGCTTGAGCTTTAGTGAGGTAAATGTCGTTTTTACTTCTTTTGAGTACATATAATTGTTTTTATAAGGGCTATAAAATAGCTTAATTTCTGTATCTTCACAAACTAATCTACTGCCTAGAATTTCCCCTTCTGCTTTAAAAAATATGGAACTGATTTTTTTTTTCAGAATCATTTCAGAGATTTCATGTGCCACCGTAAGTCTAGCCTGCTTAGATCTTAATGCTCAATCTAAATAATTGGTAATGGATTCAAATGCTATAATCACTGCTAACAGCTTTTTTCACTGGATAGGGCAGTTTCTACCCCCCTCCCCCCTCCAATTCACTTACTGTACCAGAGGCTACCTGCCTGCAGAGCCCAGAACATTTGTTCATTCATGATCCTGATTTTAATTTTGTATTTATAATCTTTGGAATAAATTTTGGTGGCATTTTTTTTCCCAGGGAGGGAACTTTCTCTCAATACTAAGAACTTAATTAAACTTCATTTCCCTTCCATCCCCAGAGGTAAAAATAAAGCAAAACTGCATGATGTTCTGACATATAAAGTACTGTACTGACAGGATCCCATTCGGGGGACTTGGTGGCATCTCTGTGACAAGGACCTCTCAGACTATTCTCCAGTCTTTGAGTCATATTACCATCTACATAAAGAAAGCTAACACCCACCAATTCCTTTTTCTTCCCCATGTTTAAAGAAGGCTGGAGTATTTGGAATCTGAAATTGGAACCCGTAGGTTTGATTCCATTTACCACATACAATTTAATCAAACGTGCAGACCCGGAGGGCTCTTGGGAGGTTGTCATGTATAAATGAGGTACTCGTGAGCTCTAGCAGTGTCTGGCACAGAGTAAGCTCAGTAAGTGCAGTGACTAGAAAAACACAGCTATTAACTGGCTATTCTGACATGGGAAACCTTTGGATTGTGTGTACTTCTTTCTACCACATTTATCCACTGAGATTTTTAGTCTGTTGAAATGTTAATATTTTATTTGATAATTTAAGACAATATTCATCTCCTAGTTATGATGACTAGAAGACTAGAAAAAAGGATCTAAAGCCCCTGCCCACCATGTAGACTCATTCTTGTGGTTGGCTTTCTAGGGTCTGCGTTTCAAAAAAGCTCACGTCACACATCCTGAACTGAAAGCTACCTTTTGCTTGCCAATACTTGGTGTGAAAAAGAATCCATCATCCCCATTATATACAACTCTGGGTGTAATCAACAAAGGGACAGTCATTGAAGTGAACGTGAGAGAGCTGGGCCTTGTAACACAAGGAGGCAAGGTTATTTGGGGAAAGTATGCCCAAGTTACCAACAATCCTGAGAACGATGGGTGCATAAATGCAGTCTTGCTGGTTTGATAGTGACTTCTACTGAAAACTACGCACCATTAGGAAAACACCATCACTGTGATCTGGCTGAATACTACCAAGGTGCCTACCCATGAGCAGTCATCGAGGAGTATTTATTAAATTGTAAATAAAAAATAAAAACTGCACAGTTTTACAGTTAGTCTTTAGTTTGGGGCCTAAGGGCTTACAGTATGGTAATAAAATGTAGTGACTGAATAGCAAGCATAGAGATAGATGTATATGAACTAGAGTGTGTATGCAGCATCACTGGAAAAGCCCCCAGTGTTGTTTGAAGCACCCATAAAGGTTAACGAACACTTAATTATTGAGTATTTTCCATCTCACTGCCATTAACCCTAAAAAAATGGAACATATTAAACATAAATGTTTAAGATATACTACATTAAAAGTATGTGATAAGGTAAATTAAACTGAACACAACTTGTGGCTTTTCCACTTGTAACCAATAATTTATGTAGTACTTCAGTGAACTCCAGTGTACTTCTACAGTGATGGTACAAATTGGTTTAGATAGTTCTAGACCATGTACTAGTGCCCTGAAATGCAGTAGTTAATTAGATTAAAAGTCATGATTTGTAGTTGTAATTTAATCCAACCTCTTTTGTGATCTGTGAATCATAGGGTCATGGCTTTTTTTTTAAAGTCTGCCTTCATAATACAACCAATGTGCCAGGACAGGCTCCAAAGCCACAGAGAAACCCTGTCTGGAAAAACCAAAAAAAAAAAAAAAAAAAAAAAAANCTGTAACAGAATCATCCAATGTCTATTACAATAACTAAGCACATCTTCATGAATGAAACTTGGGGGGAAAAAATGAAAACACAGACCAGAAAACAATCACAAAATATAGGTTTAATTACTATTTTAAACATTAAGGTGGGGGGAAGACTAGCAAGGAAACAAAACATAAATTCTCCAGTAAGACTTGCAGCTCTGAATACAACGTTTTTTTCTCTTAAGTTTTAGAACATACAAAGATGGTAGCAAATGACTGTTCAGTACAGACAGATTCACCTCAGGACCTTTCTTTACAATTAGATTTTAACATTTTCCACCAATAAAAATGGGTAATATAGGATTTATTCACTTAAGTCACAGATGGTGAAAGGAAGTCTGACTTCAGGTAATCAGTGTGGTATTGCTGAAGTAGGTTTGCTTTTTTTAAGAAATAAAAACAGCAAACTATCTTGTAGTAGGAAGTATGAAAGCAAGCATAACATACGTAACAGACCACACCAAAAACACCAGATTGAGAGTGGACATAAGAGGCAGAAGTTGCTCTCTAAATATGGTTACATATGAGTAGTGTTAGTATAAATTCCTTATTTACATTGAAATCTGTGTAGGCTGCTGGTGTGACCACACCTTAGAAAGTAATGCAGAGGAAGGAGCCTCGGAGCAGATGTTTAGCTGGTAGACAGGGTTTAAAAGAACACTATACTATGCTAAAGTCACAAACCATCTCAGGTAACACTGTGATCATCTGTTAAAAGTAAACCATTAATGACTAGAATTCCTTGCTCTGTAAACCAATGGAAATATGAACGTAGACACATTAAAGTAGAATAATGTGAACATACATAGATGACTGACATTCTAAGTCATGCTATTTGATTTCGTTAAAAAATCATAATAGAATCTCTCCATCTTTAAAACTTGGAGCTTTACAATAAAATTCTTAAATAATTTTTTGTGTGGTCTAACAGTAGTTTAGGTTTGAAAGTAAAACTAAAATTTTGCTAATATTCATCTGCTTTATATTATATAAGGAAATATATATGTATATACACCAGAAGGGAGCACCCTTCTCCACGAATATGACTTCTAAACAAAAAGAACCAGTTCCCAAGATAAGACAGGGTGTAACCAAACATACAAAACTAGCTAGCTGCTTGAAGCCACAGCAGTCATCCTAATGCCTTGCAAAAACTACAAGTATCGAATTAAGCTTATTTAGGTTCCCTACTAAGCACAAATTTTGTTATAAATTTTATATAATCAGTATGCTACTGAACATGAAAGATCTTTCCTGTGTGACAGAATTTTTTCCTGTGATCTCTAAACTAACTTCTGTCACAGACGACATATTTCCTTGTGTGCTAAATGTTTTGAAATTGCTTTAAATTCCATTTATATTAAACAAGTTTAGTAAGTATAAGTTCATATACTAGTCCCCAGTGTGATGTATTTTTAACTCAAGAGACTATTCACACATCAAGCTGCCAGTGAGTGCAATCTTTTAAAAACACTCATTTATGTAAAGGGAACAACAATAGACAAAAAAAAAAAAAAACCTAGAATTTTTTAGTGAGTACTATAAATTAGAATTTAATTTTCTGAATCTTAACAGACTCTTCAGATACTATCCCTAGTTGAGATCTTAACAAAAGCTTCTCTAAAAGTGTAAAACAGCATCAGCATCTGGCAGATCCAGAGTTCGTCACACCTATTCTTTAACTTAGCATTGAGAAAAATGCCATAATTTTCACTTAACAATCATTAACTAGCTTCTAGCCAAAAATAAAAACAACAGGTAATACAAGTGTTCTAACATCATAGTAGAGTTACTATTTAGTCTGCTTAAAGACTGACTAATTGGACTTTCTAAAACATCTCATCCCTAAATGTAAGACCTGACATCACCAGATCACCTAACCGACTGAAGACTGAACTGCAAATCGAAACTCACAGCACCTAACATAAGGACACAAAGTCCAGGTTTTTTCTCAAGGCTCAAACTTTCACAATAATGAATCTAAATGGTCTCAAAATAGCCTCCAACTTAAATATAAATGAGAGTACATGGTACTTCCAAAATACTATTGACAGATTCTCTATGGCGTCTAAGAATAATCGTTTTGTTCATTTTAAAACCAACTGTCATAAAGAAATGAACAGGTTTTCCCCCCTATAAAAAAATCAAATGCTTTTGCCATGGCAATAAAGTACACATACAGGGTAGCCTACAGTCAGTAGTCAGAACATCTAAAGTATACAAGACCCAAAGGGACAGCAGAAATAGAATTTAGGCATTTGGACACCTCATAGGATAGGTCTAAAGAGGTGGTTCTAAACCTATCCCCAAAATAGGTTTAAATAGGTATAAATTGCAAGTGAGATGGAAGTCTTAAAAGAAGAATCACAGTGACTTACAGAGACTAGAGGGATTAAGTAAATTTAGGAAGGGCTATACTTCTGCAGAACTCTAATTAAGCAGGAATAAAGTATCTGATCTGACCCACCCACAGTCCAAATTAAACTACATTCTAAATTCAATTGCTTGAACTGTTTACCAGATTAAAGTGAACCAAAGCTTTTTAGCATCTGCAAATATACAGAAAATTTTAGAAATTATACCTAACTAATACGTCAGGTGGAATTTTAAATTACCCATATGCCACAGTTAAGTCTCTAAAGGTACTGTTAACATCAGATGATACGAAGGCTAGACTGTGTACTTCACAGATGTTGAACTATCTACAACTAATAAGAAAAACAATCATGTTCACTACCATAAACTATGTTTTGTCATCTCACTTGAGATTATTTTAATTTAGTGACAACATTTTTGTTTAGTTATGCCTACACTTAAAAATATGGAGATTGTTTTTGATACTAAGATAAAACATTGAGAACCCTTGCCAAGTTTTTACCATTAAAGCCCTTAGTATAAAAGATTTCTAAGATCTTTGTGTTAGAAAGTCTACTAAGATTTTTAATTTTTTTTAAATATTAATGGTTAGATGTTCCACGTGCTAAAGAAAAATGTATGAATGACCTGGATTTCCAAAATTGACAAATGGTTCATAAAAATAAAAGTTAGAGAAAATAATAAAAAAGAATGGTGAGCCCTGAAGGGTAGAGGAACCTGCGTTTATAAATAAGTTCAGATTGAAACTTTGGAATCTGTCCTGTGCCCCATGCTGTTTATTAATTACCATGTTTAAAAACAACAACTACATTACAAAGAAGAGAATTTATCATATGCATTTCTCCACTCAGGACAGTTTGGCTTTTTTCTTGGCAGGTCCTTTATGTCCTTTGGCCTTTCTTCTCAAATTCCTCCTGTCTACTACAGGAACTTCCACCTCTATCTCCTCTGAGCTGCTATCCACAGCTTTCTCAGCTGATTGTGTAAACTGGTCCAGTTGCTCAGAAGACGCTTCAGATTGCTCCTCTGACTGGTTCTTCTGCCCTGCATTCTGTGGGAATGGCACATCTTCAAGTTCTACCTCTATCTGAGCAGCAGATGTTTCCTGGGCCTCTGGGACCCCATCCTCACCCTGATCCTCCAGTGAGGAAGTAGTGTTGGGTGATAAATTCTCAGAGACCGGCTCTTCAGGAAAGTCTGTTACTGCAGAATTTGGAAAACCACTGTCAGACTTCTCTTCATTTGACAGAGTGGCAACACTGTCTGAGCTCCCCAAATGTGTTTTCTTTTTTGAAACTAACTTTTCCTCAGTATGTCCTTTATCATCAGATGGGCCTTGATCTGTCAACATTTCTGAGTCAGAAACAGGTGAGGTCTGGGGGAAAAAAGCCATACAAAAATAAAGCTCATTAACAGTTTTATAATACAGTTCTAAATGAATCATTCTCAGAAGTCTCTGAATTATGTAAAGAACTCAGTACTGATTATTTTTGTTACAAAGGAGTCCATATTCTAAGTTCATCTCAAAATTTCTTCAAAATTGTCTCATGGCAAATTTAATACAGTAAGAGACCATTTTGCCTCAAGAGTATCCAAAACACTTATGATTCTACCAAACCATCAGTTATCTCTAAGTTCTGCTGTTACTATAGCCAGAATGAAGAATCTCTTGGGACAACACTATCCTATCCCTTACTCAGTCTAACTGGTTTCACTGGACAACAGTGGTAAGGACCATGGGAGCTTTATTCACCAACCTCAGTGAGACACTTAGAAACCATTAGTATACTTAGCTGTAAGTCATAATATTCAAAGCCAAACTAATTTTTAAATATTCATCAAGCTTTTCTTTAGCTTGTCTATTGGATTTAAAACAATCGAAATTACTGTAGTAGTCATAGCCAATGTAGACAGTAGTATTCAAGTGTTTGATAAATCATGTTTTTTTTTTCTTTGTAATTTTTCTAATCAT